TTCCTCAGTGAAGTTGATACTATCGTGCTAGCTAGTTCCATAGTAAGATAACACTCAGTTGCTGATATTGAACTCTCAACGCTAACAGATTCAAAGACAATTTTATAATTAAAATTTTTCCCAACATTAAGAAGTACTCGATGAATGGATGTTTTTTTCAATTATAGTTGATTCTTTAGCAGTATCAAATATTAGCATAGTTTTATACACCCAAGTAAGTGTGCAAAAAAACTGATTAGAAACAGGAAAAATTTTATTTGTTGATTGATGGACAATATGTTCGAATAGTTTTTCTTGAGTATAAAGATAATACATATTTGAGCGAACTTTAAAGTCGATTGAAATTAATGTTTATGAGAAATAAAAAGTTAGTTGAAATAAAATAGTGAATTGACTAACTAGATGGCACGTCGACAAAGTCGAAAATGTGAATTCAGGTGCGAAGCAATCGTTCCCCTCAATTCTTCAATGTCGAATAAAACTCTATAAGATTGAATTGAAAACCTGTTCTATATTGATCAGTCTTTACCCTCTTCAAGTATATTTTTCTTCTTCATGTTTTTGTGCTTCGAACTTCTTTGACAAGAAAAAGATAGTAGCACCTAGCTTATCATACTATTCTTTGCTCTAATTATCTCGAATGTTGAAAAAAAGTCGACAACAATTTGCGTTTTTATCAAGCTCCCAATAAGCCAACTAAAGCTACTACTGAAGATCGCAAGAGCCGCATTGTCGATATTTTCACCTTGTGTTCTAACGAGTATATTCCTGATTTTTTTTTATTCTCGAGATCATCACAAGAAAGAGTGACAATTTTATAGGTTTCTGATGCAATATCTATTGGTTTTCAATTAGTACAAACTCCACTTTGTCTTTTAATAATCTGTCTGTGGTATATATAATTAAATGTACATTAAACCCATTGTTATACTTAGTATAATATAGACGCATGCTTTTATTTTCGCTAAACTTGACATTTCGGCTGATTCGAAAGTTTTATAATCTCATAAACGATGAATCCAGTTTGTGGACATACTTCGTACCACGGATTTAGCCTGTGTGTTATCTAGTTGATATATGTCAATCATCTCTAATTTAGTAGATATAAGAATAAATAAATAGTATCAAGTAACATTTTTTATTGTATACGGCTGGTTATCGTTTCAATAGAAAAGGATAAATAACTTCTAATCATGTTAACATTAATTTTGTCAATCGATATTAAAGAATTATATTTGATGAATACAAATATTAATCATTGATTTTTAATCAAGCTGAATATATGTTCACTTCAAATAATAACAAGGCAATATTTATGTTTGTTCAAGCATTCAACGAAAACTTAACATTTGACTATATATTGAAATAGAAAAATATCTTTTTTTTCCGAAAAGAAAATATATCAACAATTTGTAATCAGTATCAGGGATATATCAATTTCTGGAACATGATTTTATCTTGTCCGAAGTTATACTCAAGACGTATGAAATACAAAACAAAAGTTTCTGAATCGGTCGAAAATTCGTATTTTTTAGTATTGGTTACGAATTGATTTATCCCAGCTTACAAAAATACATGCCTAGTATTAAGAATCACTGGACTCCTAGCGATCCTTCATGCTAGTAGGAATCGGCTTTGAGCATTCTTCTCCAAAGGTTTTAGCTAATGCAAAACACAGGTCTCAAAATCAATTGGAATTGGTTTAAAAGACTTAATAAACGTAAATTTTTAAATAATGCCAAAAACGTTGTTTTGTATTTCATAAATTTCAGCTATAGCTTTTGATGGAGCAAAAAGCATTAATCATTGTTGATATAAACAATCTACAGGAAGTACATGCTTAATAAAGAAAAAAAAATGCCAGGCTTCACAGCATGTTCTAGGAATTGATGCATCTCTAATCAGTATAGAACCAGTATATAATCACAGCAATACAAGAAATAAATCAATGAATGAATTAAAACAATAAGATAACATATGTTTTATTTCTTCTCCCGTCAAACTAAAGATTTTCTTGTATCTCCTCTTCGAGAAAATACGATGTGACATCTTATCCAATGCATACAATTAGAAAATGATAACATACAGATTTTTCTCCAATATATTTGGTCTGAGAGACCTTGTTTTTCCATTCAGAACAAACTAAACAATAACTAAGACTTTGATACTAATATTGACTGCCTCAGGCTAGCTCTGGTACTATTTGGTCAAGTTTGTTGACGATACAAATTAGATCATTCATATGTACCTTAGTCAATCAATTTCGCTAGTGAATAATTGCGTACATTTGTTTACGGTAAATAAAGATAAATATTTCGGAGCTTTTATACTTTAGGACCCCAAATAATCAACTTTTTCAGCCTCATCCACACTTTCGTGCTTGTGATATGATCAATCAGATGCCAAGGGTCCTAAAATGTAAAAGAACCGTTTTTAAAATTCTATAATTTTTTTGTGAAGTATTTCCCCATATATCCTGCAATATTAAAGTTCTTGAGTGGAATCTGATTTTGTTTATTATTCTTGTACTAGATCTATCTTATTCAAGAATAAAACTTATAATAATCAATGCATTTCAAGGTACAAAATAAACCAAGTATTATATGTTTCAACATAGACGGAAACATTTACGATGTCATTCCGTTCAATACATAATATTCTTTCACGTAAAATTTTATTTAAATTTTCAACTTAAAACCACATCTAATTATTATTATTATTATTAGAAAATTAATGATAATTAAATATCATTTTTAATTTTTAGATGTCGCTAAATTGTTAATATACGCGGTGTTAGTATACATCCAAATCCACACTTTGCCCTTGACGTAGACGTCAATCAATATATTATACAATACAGTATCTGCTCATACTCTCATCATGCAATATGCCAGTAGCAGGAACCTTACGATGTATGCAAGCAACAGAAAGGATAAATGAATAGACGAACAAACGAGAGCGACAGTGCGACCTCCCAGAAGGTCAATGTGTGTATGCATATAGATATATCGACTTGTTCTTCTATAACATCTATCGACAAAAAAGGCAAAAATGTTTCGTCCATAATATTCTACCGCGATGTCGAGACATTTTATAATTTAATTCAATATTTTATATTAGATATAATTCTCTTTTTTTTTCTCCGATTATGTCAGACGACGTATGTCGTAGTTAAACATCTACTCCTACCCGTAATTTACTTTTTCACTATCGATTATATGTAAGTAATTCAATTAATAACGATAAAACCGAGTAAAAACATGTTTTTCTTTCTAATTTAGTTAATTAGCTTCTCTTTTCTAAAAGTAATATTGTCTTCTCTTGCAGTGCTTACTTATGCATCGTTTAGTTTTATCACTTTCATATGTCTAATATTAATAAAATATTCTTTTAGAAATCATCAAGAATTAATATCTCCTTTTGCATTAATACCACCTTCGATAAACAACATGATTCAAACGGCAGCACCAGGTGAATTTACTCATCGCTGTGCTAAAGTATCATTTGATTCAATCTATAAGATAACTGAAGATCTTTGTCGGTAAACAACTGATATTTTTTTAAATATCATTGATAACTTATTCTCTTTAGTGGTCGTTTTTCATTAGTTAAAAAATGTATTAAAAAAGATACATCGGATCAATTTTTTGCAGCAAAAATAATCAAAAAACGTCATTTGCAACAAGCACTCAATGAATTACGTATATTTCAATTATCGTATAAACATCCGAATTTTGTAAAATTTTATCAAGTATTTGATTTACCAACTGAAGCTATTTTTATTCTTGAATAGTAAGTTTCGAAAGAAAATCAAATACCAATGGTATTTGATTTCTTATATATTTTAGTGCAAAACAAGGTGATTTACAATTAGTTCTTGAATTAGAAGGTTATTTAGAAGAATCACAAGCAATACATATTATGAAACAAATACTTGAAGCTGTAGCATTTCTTCATGAGAATAAAATTGTTCATCTTGATATTAAGGTATTAATTATATACTTTAAAATAGAGAAGTCTGATTGCTGTAAAATCAAAATATGCACTCATGCTAACGTTATCTACCTTGTTTTCAAATATACAATCTCGTCTACGGAAGTGTTTTGCATTCCGAAAATGCCAATATAATCTTTAAAAACAGACATATCCAGAAAAAGCATTTTTTTTCTGAAAAAATACTGTTTGAGACCTTTCCTTTATTATACACGGAAAATTTTTGTTACAAGAAGACTAATACATTATATATCATATCATTCGATTCAGTTTCAAAAAATGAAGTTAGCCTTCAATAAGTTTGTGCTTAATCATGTTAACGTTATATAGGTGTTAGGGTAAAGGGACATTCTATGGAAGTTTTGTCCTATATGAAGTTGTGGAAAATTGTGCAAGCTCATTATACTGAACTTATGTTTTCGCGGAAACACTTGATGTTATAAGGAAGAGTGCTTTTTCTCAAATTCCAAACAGATAAAAGCGAAAGTTTCGTTTTTACGAATCGATAGAGTGAAAGACGTAGTTACAGACTATGTGTAATTTTTCTCAAATATGTTTTCTCCTTATTATTTTTTTTTTGTTTATATTAAAGGAAGACTTCTAATTCTTACTAGCGGCATCTTTCAATGAGGTTTTCTTTATGCTTTTCGACTCATGCTAACAAGAGGAATACAGATTTCTATATATCATTAAATAAATTATATGTCAGACTATATGTTGTGCTATGTAAGCGATTATAAAGCATACTTTCAATTTTTCAGTTAATGTCTGTCTGAATATCTATAGAGAATCGATGATATTGAAGATAGGATCAACTTCTTTTCCATAAAGTTATTGGATCGTGTTTCTAAAGGTTTCGAATTTCCTTAAATAAATTCTTTTTTCTTCTTTGTAGCCACAAAATATTCTTCTTATGGAAAAATGGCCAAGTACGCAAATAAAACTATGTGATTTTGGTCTATCTCGTGTATTAACTAATCAATGTCTATTAGAAATGTCGGGCACAACAGATTTTCTTGGTAATTTTTTCATAGTATATATTGTTTTTCTCTAGCGTTTTTGTATTTTCTAGCACCTGAAGTAGTCAATTATGAACCATTAACATATGCTACTGACATGTGGAATATTGGTGTTTTGATTTATGTACTTGTTACTGGTCATACACCATTTGGTGGTACAACTAAATTGAATACACAAAGTAATATATCACAATGTGTACTGGATTTTCCAGAGGATTTATTTGAAAAAATATCAAAGAAATGTATTGATCTTATAAAAAAATTAATTGTTCGAATACCAAAGTAAGAATACCAAAATAAAACCAATAATACTTATTTGTTTTTATTTAAATAGACATCGAGTAACTGCGAATGTATCACTTAAACATCCATGGATATGTTTGAATGAAGAAACAATATTAAAAAATTCAATTGATGATGAAGATGAAGATGATGATAATAGCACACTACTCTCAACAAATAATAATCAATATGAAAATAACGATGAAGACAATAATTAATTAAAATAGTTCTTTTTCTTTTTTATTCTGACATTATTGAATGAAATATCTTGTGTAATAAGTTGCAGTGCAGTATGTATATATGTTATGTTCTCAAAAATTAAACGCCCTGTTTTTTTTTTATATTCGCAATTCTCCTACCCTTCTATTTTAGCTATGTATTTCTTTCCCAATCTACACAGCCCTATGACACATACCTCATAAAGTGGTAGTTTTCATACCAAGACCTTATACTGTTTTTTTTTGTTATCTCAGGATAAGTAATTAGGTCTATTTTTTGTCATTACGCAGGGAATTATTTTGACTCAACAGTTTTCTGTTTTTTTTCGTTTGCTCATTATATCTCATGCATTTTTTTTCCTGTTATTGCTCTTTTTGATTTTCTTGAAACCTTAGTATTTCTAAACATCATAGGTGTTTATATATAAGTTGAGTAACCAAAAAAAAAAGATTAAGTAGATTTAAATTGAATGATATGGTTTTAGAACAAAAACTAAAGTATCTTTATTTGGAAAAAAAATCTCTTAAATAAGAAATAAATTCAAAAGATTCAAGAATGAATAAATATATTATTTACGTTTTATTCGAAACTACGATAATTGATGAAGCAAATTCCTGTTTAATATCTAATTTATTTTTTATAATTATTGTTTTATGTTATTTCGAATCGACGTTCGATGAAACAAGAATTATATTGTCTGTCTATTAGCTATGGAATTAGTTTATATTTAAAAAAACATTTTCTCGAAGAATTATTTATTGAGATAAAATGCTCGGTTGAAATTACTTTATGATATTAAAAATTATTCTTAATAATTAAGAAATTATGATTATCTCTATCGATTTTGAAGAAAATTTTACTTTAATTTCCTAGAATAATATAAAGAATACATTAGTATACTTCAAGAACTTTCTCTGAGATTATTTACATACTCTACAATGTTTTGACATATCTTCTAAAACAAAAATAAATAAAACTATTTCATGTTAGAATAGTGTACTTTACCAATCATATGATAGCCAATTAGTAGACGTATACAACATTCATCAAGTATACTTTTGCCAAATGAATGACATACGTACATTGAGAAGAGTGCTTTCAGTGTACATACACTGATAGGCAGCTGAATTACACAAGACTTGCGTAGGCTCTTTCATCAAATTGATAGCCTTGAGCAACACAATACAATTCATATACAAATGTCAATATGCTTCACCGCATTCGCTGGCAAATAATAGCATTCTCTTATTCACAACAGAATTATTAAACGCTTTTGAACGAAGAAAAAGAACTGTACAGAACAACTTGAGCCAATTTAATTTTATTTTTCTCTATATATTTCATTTAAAATTTTACTTCAAAAAATTTCTGCTAGTATTGCCATCTCGTTGTAAAGCATTATCAAAATATCACCGAAATTGATTTCGCTATATTCAATGTAAACTTTTGAAATACCCATTATCTATTAATTATTTTTTAAGCCCTCTCAAAAAATAATCTTATTACAGGTACATTCAAATCGCATAAAATTTTCAGTCCTATTCCATGGTGCTTTCGGAAGATACTCAACAAACAAGTGTAAAAAATTAGCTTATTTGATAATCTAAAATTGTCTGTGGATGCTTCATTCTATACTTGTATCATTTGCTTTGTTTGAAAAAACATGTCAGATTGCAGGACATGATAGAGCCCCTTTTTTTTTCTTAAANTCTACGAATCAAAATAATTAAATTGAAAATATTTTTTTACTGTATTCGATTCAATAATCCAAAAGAAGAATATAATTTTTTTTTCTTGAAATTAAAATCTTATGTTCACGATGTAACAAAGAAACTCTATTAATCACTATTGTATACACGGATATGTACGACATCTGTATCATAGTTCATTTTCATTATAAGCTTGCCACTCGAGTAGAGAAGGCAACTGACAGTAAGAGGTACCGGGGGTGTGTCAAGGTTATCAGAATTGAGTGGGAGGCGATTATTCAGAAGACAAGTTAAAAGCTTTTTATTAAAATTATATTCTTCTTTTGGATTATTGAATCGAATACAGTAAAAAAATATTTTCAATTTAATTATTTTGATTCGTAGATCATGTTCTCTTTCACATACATATCCACATGTACACCACATACACATAGATATAGATAGTATAGTGATAGGAAAAGAGCTTAGCTTTACTTAAGGAAGAAGAACACGAACATGATTTGTTGTCTTTCTATCGTCTTAGTCTGTATTGTTTTTTTTTGTTATTGTCTTTTGTTTAGATTGTATTACATTTAAATAACAAAAGAAAAATCATGGAACAAGGTTCATCAAACAAACTCGATGTTGTTTCAATGGTTATTTGGTTATCTACAGGCAATGGAAAATTCTTTGAATTAGTAAGAATAAAAGATTTAGTTGATTCGAATTATCTTTGTTTTTTTTTTTTTGAATTATTAAAGCATGGTTCTCGCGAAATAATTAAACAAGTTTTACCTAAATCATCGGAGACAGCTTTTCGTTGGGGTTATTATAATTCACCGGCTGATCCTGATCGACAATCATATACACAAGTACTTGAAGCTTTTCTTCAAGCTGGTTTTCGTATTGAAGGTTCATCAGGCGCAGGTACACAAGGTCTTCTTCGTACGCAATATATTCTTGTTAAACGTAGTTCTTGATAAAGAAAAACAAAATCATGAACGTATTTTCTTTTACTATCAATTTTTTCTTCTTTTTGTTCTCAGGAAACTATATGTCATATTTCGTTTACTTTTTTTCATTTAATCAGTTTGTTGTTTTCTTCTAGTCTGTTAGTTTGTTTATTATTGTTGTTTCATCAAGGGTATTCTCATTGATTTGATTTATCACAGTGTTTGTTTTTTTCAAACGATATAAGATTGATCATAGTTTGTAGGGCAAAAAAAAAACACTTATTTGGTTATGGTTGTTCTTTTTGTTTTTTTTTTGTTTGTTTGCAGATGTCATTATTATCACAACATCGTTTTGAAATACTTTCATTAGTTGTTCGAAATACTCTTACGACAAATTCAAAAGTTTTTCAATTACATGGTGATAAACAAGTCATAGCACAAATTTTACCAACAGCTCCTGAACGAGCTTATATAGGACATAATTGTTATGACTCAAGTTTTGATCTTGGTTCAATAGCATATACAGATGTTTTGCAACGTTTATTAAGACTTGGATTTCAAATTGAATCATCAACATCAGGATCTTATAGTCCACCAAAACCAGAAAAATCGATTATCAAAGATGATCCTCTACTACGTTTACCAAATGATACATTTGTTCTTCAATATACACTCATAAGAAAGCACCTTGTAGAATAAACAAAACCTTCAGATATGAATTAGTTTCATTTGTGTGTGAGATATTAGCATTGCGTTTGTTTTAATCATTTTTAACTTTGTAGTATGTTTGTAAGTAAAATTTATTCTGCCAAACAAAAGAATAAATTTACCATTTATTTTGACATAAGTCAAAAGAGTTTGTTTTTTTTTCTTGAAGTGGAAAATATAATTCTGTTTTAGATTATATAAACTTTGAGAATTGTCACAAAAGGAGAATGTATTTTCAATGTATAAAAAACCAGTCGTTATTAACTATGTCAATGTTCGACGGGTAAGAATGTATTTGATTATATAGTAAAATATGCATCGCTATGTTTATCTCATAAATAAATTCTAAAATAGGGCTGTGAGCAGTTTGTATTTCAATAGCAATGGCGTCTCTCTTTCGTTTTTTTTCTGTTTTTCTTTTCTTATAGTTTTGTCGTAGTTCGAAAGAATAGGTAGACAAACACATGCGAAACGTTTGATTAACATGAAAAAGAACGAAAGTGAGACAAAGAAATAAAACTCTTCGACATTTTTTTTTCTTTTTTGCAAACAAAGCGTTGCATCGCGCCGGTTTACACATTGTTTCAAAGGTATCTTTTGCAAATTGAAAAAAAAATTGAAATTGTGAACAGATCACTTTAAATGAAAATAATATAGTTCATTTTTTTTTTTACCTTGGAACCACATTCTTTTTTGTTTTTGTTGTTATATATATATACACTTACATAAGGAATCAAAACAGAAAAGAAAAAAAAAGGAAAAAGAACTTATTCAAAATCATAAAATATTATATTTACATACTAAACTTGTTTTTTATGGATGATAATAGTATATATATATAAAAAGTCATTGTTTTTATCTTATAGTGATTATTTAAAACCTACTAGAACAACAGCATGTAATTCAATGATTATTCAAACGTAATATTTTCAAGAAAAATAAATAAATAATGGATCATTCAGAACTTATACAAGAAATGGTGCTGTTAGAAAAAATGACAGCCCAAGAAAGACTTAAACATGCACGACGACGACGACAACAACAACTTAAAAATTGGGCACAACGAGAAGGTCTATCAAGTAATAATACAACAATATCAACAGGTATAGTTAATGGTACAATAACAACATCAACGACAGGAACAAAATCAATTAAATCATATTCTAAAACAAAACAACCATCTGTTAAGTTTCCTGAAAATATTATTTTATTAGAAGGTAATTGAAGAATTCTCTTTTTTTTTTATGACATTTCATTGTCAAGTATTTTTATCATATGTAATAAAATGGTGATTGAGATTTTTCTTATTGATATAATGTTTCTTTTAATTTAATTTAATTTAACCGAATGAATTATTTATAGCTACAGCACGTCAAGACCTCGATGAAGTTCGTCATCTTCTTCAAACGGGAAAATATAGTCCAAATACAGCTAATGAAGATGGTCTTACACCAATGCATCAATGTTCAATTGATAATAGTGAAAAATTATTAAGATTATTAATTGAATATGGTGCAGATATTAATGCAAGAGATCGAGATCTATGGACGCCTTTACATGCTGCAGGTATAATTAAATATAATCTTTATTTCAATAACCATTCAAAAAAATTCTTTCAAATTGAAATTTACTCATAAAAATATATTAAATAAAGTCTTATTATATTGTGTAACTCAAATCGTATTAAATACAGACAAACAAACAAAAAATAAACCTCTGTTTACATTTTAGAGTTTTATGCAAAAGGATAATGTATATGAATTTTATATTGGCTTATATTCATGATTTGAATATAGCTGTAGCATCACGCTCACTATTCAATTAACTGTTATTGCAGCAAAAATTAACATTTAATAATACGAGTAAACATTATGAAACAATTAGTCCTCTTTATATATCATTTAAATATCGTTTAGTTCAGTTTAGTTTCTATGTATAAATTGTCTATTTCTCTTTTTAATATTAAATATGTGAGAGAAATATTGAAAATAGGTCATCATCAAAGTGTATATAGGTCAATTGAAATCATCAAGTCGATATGTGTAGAATAGTTATACGATAGGATAGGGTAAGGATATGAAAGAAAAAGGCTTGCTTGAAATTGCTCGATAATTACACCTTAATTATATGTGGAACTCAGAGTTTTGATTAATTGCTAATTCAATATTTATTCACAAATTATTATTTATCAACTAGGTGCACATAATAAAACAAAAACAAATTACTTTATTTTTTCCTTTTATTTTAGCTACATGTGGTCATTTACAAATATGTCGAATTCTAGTTGAAAATGGTGCTGAATTATTAGCTTTAAATGCTGATGGTAATATGCCCTATGATATATGTGATGATGAAATAACTCTTGATTATATTGAAACACAAATGGATCGTATTGGTATTACACAAGAAATGATTGATAAAACAAGAGGAGAAGTTGAAAATAAAATGTTAATTGATTTACAAAATTTAGTTAAAAAAAAATCTCAAGGATCATTACGTTCCATTGATGATATACTTTCATATAGAAATCTTGAAGGTGTAACACCATTACATATAGCTAGTGCTAATGGTTATCAAACTGTTGTAGAATATTTATTGAAACAAAATGTATCAATTAATCTGCAAGATAATGATGGCTGGACACCAATTCATGCAGCAGCATTTTGGTGTCAACAAGGTGTTCTTGGTAAACGATAAATAAAATTGAAAATATTGAATTTTTCATGTTTTTTTTCCCAATTATTTCAGCTCAATTAATCGAAACTGGAGCAGATATTTATGAAAAAATTCCTGATGGTCGTTCAGCACTTGATCTATGTGATGATCCTGATTTACGTGCATTTCTGGTCGATTTTCGAAAACAAAATATACGTAATCAAGAAAAAGCTGCAGCTGCAGCAGCAGCTGCTGAATTACAACAAAAAACAAGTCATCGTCATTCAGTAAATACAAATACTGTATCTAATGGAACAACATCTCGAACAGGTACATTATATGAATCACGTTCAAGTGTATCATCTCCATATGGAAGTGGTTCATCATTAAATCGAACAAGTTCAATTCGTCGTGCATCAATACGTGATCGTGAAAAAGTTAAAAAATTAAATGAAAATTTTCTTGATGTATTACAAGCAAAAGATAAAATACAAGAAGATGCTGATGAACCAATAGCAAATGTTATAACAAGTAATGGAGCATTACCAACTACAACGAAATTAACAACAAAAGAAGAACGAGCAAATAGTGTAACAACAGCAACTGATTCAACTGTACGAGAACCAGCAACAGCAACAACAACAACTTCAGTAAAAAAATCAATTGCACCAGTCATTGAAGTAACTTTACCTCCATTAAAAGTTCCACCACCATTACCACCAACTCAAACTACTGCTGATACATTAAGTGATGTTAAACGACGACGTGAAGAGCGACGTCGTGGTATAGGTGGATCATCATCAACTGTACCTCCTGCTGTGACTTCTACGCCTCCAACATTACCTATGATTGATACAAATCATAAAACTAATAATGGTAATACTAATAATAATAATACTAATAATAATACCAAAATATCAAATGGTATTTATGCATCAACAAAAGATGATCCGTTACACAGGTTTACATCACCTAAACATATTGAAATACGTGATCAGCATAAAATTGATGATGATCGTGAAAAACGAATTTGTTGTACTATTTTGTGATTTATTTCTTTATCATCAATAATATTTATCCGTCCATAAATAATCTTTCCATTGATTATATTATACAACAAAAACAAAAAGGAATCTATACCAGTGTTAAAAAGAAAAGAAACAGCAGAAACGAACTCTTTCTTTCTTTTTCTTCTTGTGATTTTGCAATATTGGTGCTCTTTCTGAAAAAATGATCTGAAAACACTAGTTTTTTTTTTCTTTCTTTCTTTGTATAAAATATATACACATATTATCGTTTGTTTTTCACATAAACTTCCTTTTTTTTCTGAAAAAAATTGATATGGCGGTTCTTCCATATACATGGTTCTTTTTTTGTTAAGTCCGTTTTTAGCTGAGCTATGTATGTCTCTGTTTTTTTCATTCATTAATAACATTCCGTTTTTTTCTTTTTTTTTTTGTTTTTCTTTTTGTTAATGCGTTTTCTTTTGCTTTTTCTCTCATGGAGTATATACATACATATAATATTGCTCTGCTATGACTTTTTCAAGGGTCCTGCCCCGGCTACTAACATGCAAGCTGATATATACACACACACACACAGAGAGAGAGAGGGAGAGAGAGAAAACAACATAATAGAAAACAATTACTACGATTTCTCCAGTAAATACAACAACAATATTTAAGAAGATGTTTTTGCTGAATTATTTTTGAATGGTTTTTTCATCTTCTTCGTTTTGCCATATGAGTAGGACGATATAATATTATTTTGAGTGTAAAATAGCTTTGAATTCTTCATAAGATACTTTTCCATCATTATCAAAACAATCGGCTTCTTCAATCATTTCTGTCACATCTTCCTATAGTCAAAAACAAAAGGAAGAAACAATGATTGATGATGATATATATAAATAGCATTGCTTTTTAGTTACTCACGTCTGTTATATTTTCTCCAAGCCTTAAAAGCATGTCATAAAGTTCATCTTTATCAATAAAACCATCTTTGTTTTTATCAAAAACCTTTTAAAGAGGAAAAAAAACAAGAACAAAAGCTCTAACGATACATCAATGTCAATTATTTACATTGAAAACTTGTTGTAGTTCAGTATCACTTTCGCCGGTTGATTTACGTCGTCGCATCATTGTGAGGAATTCATGAAAATCAACAGAACCATCACCTAATAAATTAATATATGTTAATAGAATTTCATAAAGAAATTCTTCATAATGAAATTTACCGTTAATATCTACTTTCGATATCACAGATGAAATATCTTCTTCACTTGGTGCATAACCAAGTGAATTCATTAAACAACGAATTTCATGATTAGATATATTTCCATCTCCATCTTTGTCCAGCAAAGAAAATGATTCTTCATATACTAAACAACACCAAATAAACATTGAAATTTTAAATAAATATTAAAATTTGTACCAGCGATTTGTTCTTCAGAAAATCCATGTACTTCACTTAGTTGTTGTCGACTTTTACCCGTTGTCGTCTAAAGAAACAATGAAAATATAAATCAAGTCTGTTAGCATTTTTATTTTTATTTTTGCTAATTTAAGATCTGCGATAAGAAAAGAAACTCTATCGTAGTAATTGTACGTTTCATTGATGTAAAAACATAAGATCTAATATGCTCGTAATGACGGATTGTAGAAGATGTTATCAACGTACCGTCGGAAACCATTTGAAGTCTTAGTGAAAGAAGCTGTTGTTATTCTATAGATATGCTTATTTTAATAAGCTGATATTATACTCGAGGGACGGAAGTATGGATCAAAATGGCAATGTTGAGATCATAATCTATCCATGACTGTGAGGACAGAATATAATATCTTTGTTTTTGAGTCTGTACGCTTTGTATATATGTATGTGATGACAACACAATACAGAAAGATGCTAATGAAACGATAGTACAATCCCTATCCTTTTCTTTCTTTATGCGTGTTACTTAACAGCTATAATAAGAAAATATAATGATCAATTGCCAACTTCTATGTCAAATACGTTCTTTTTTTTTTTTCAAATAAAAATTCTCTTCTTTTTCTATTCAATATTATTGAATTGTGAAAATGGATAATATGTGTATTGACATGTAACAAAATGCTTTCGTATTTTTGTATTTTCTATCATACAAATGGAAAAAAAATCATTGTGTTCTTAATATAGACCATGTGCCGACGATAACAAGCCTTCATTGACCTCATTTATCACTTCTATTGCTTATCTCATTCTTATCCTATGTCTTATAGTTTATCATGATGAAAGACTTATTGCAAGTAGCAATCACTAAATAATTTTTTTTTAAATGTATATAAGAAAAATAAACTTACAATCATCCAATCATCAAGAATTTGAAGATTTGGTGTTACTTGATAAGGATCTTCTATAACTGGTCGACGTCGTTGACATTCGAGTGTCATTGATTGAGAGTGTATTAGTATTCGATTTTCTGAAATTTTTGTTTCATATGATGCTCTTGATGTACGTCCATTTTCTTGATTATCATCTTGTTGTAAACGTAATGATGATAATGATGATGATGATGAAGATGAAGATGATGAACTTAATGTAAATGTAACTGTACGTGATGTTTTCATATGAAGGACATCGTCATCAATGGCAAGATCAAGCCCTTCCATTGTTATATATGAATTAAATTCGAACATAGTAAATAATAAAATTTGACATAATAATAAATGCTCATTGGCAATCTGATCTAGTTCAATATTAGAACATCAATAATAAAAATCTAATATCACTAAAGTCGTCAATAAGAAAAAGAAAATAGCGTTAATCGACCTATCGACAATAATGACGAGTGAATAACTGTCGATTTTGTTCTTGTTGATTTATATCCATTGTATTGCTTGACCTACAGACATGGTAACGAAATGAATAATAGTAGTAGCAGTCATGCAATCAAGAGAAAAAAAAAGAAGCATAATGTTTGCTCTCTCTTTGCTTTTGTCAAGTATTTGCATAGAAATCATTTTTGCTATTGGTGCTTTAGATATTTGCTTTTTCTGCCTCGGTTTTTCTTTCTTATTTCTCTCTTAGATTTTGTCTTTAGGTTTCGTAATATAGAATGATAAACAGAAAACAATTGGGTTGTAATGTGTGACTGTTTTTCTATACAATTATCTTTGATCCGAAACACGAATAAATAATATAAAAAAGGACAGAAATAGAACAAGAAAAACTCTTAGAAAGAATCAAGCATTCTATCTATATACTAATTGATTATATTTACTTATACGAACAAATTTATATCATCAACAAATAAGATTTATTACAAAAAAGAATATACTAAATGACATTATTTTGCTTATATCTTAGTTGTTACCTTGACAATAATATTGTAATATGATATTGAATAAAAATTAATCATAATTGAATGTTGAAACGTTATTCAAATTTCATGGTCATATATTCATACGTATATTTACTGATAGATTTTGATTATAATACTAATGGTATTTGTGTATGTAAATCATTTGAATGATTTTTTTTTTTGAAATGACTCTATATATAATGTATACAGGAAAAGTGAGTCGATCAAGTATCCACTATACTTTATTTATAGTCACCATTTCTTTTTCTAATAACAAATAATGTCAATAATAACTTCAAAGTCTAGATAAACCATAAAAGAAATTATTTGATGACAAATTTTGATTTGCTGGCTTATATATGTTTTTTTTTGAAATGGTAATCAGTGTAATAAACGACTCGAAAAATAAATCATGTTCATTGATCTTTGATTAATAATTGTTTAGTGAAATAGAAATTTTATAATGAATGCATTATATAAATATATTATTGACTAAGTGAAAAGCAAGTGTAATTCTTTAATAAATATTATTATTATCATTGTATTAATTACAAAGTGCACGTAGAGAAAACTGCTTTGATCATTGTAAATGACTTTGAACGAATAACGTCTTCTGTTTTATTTTCAACATGTACGAAAAATTATTATTCGATTGGCACATTTTATGAGTTGAATTAAAGCGTGATTGAATTGTTTCATTTCCCGATGCACAAAGATTATTTTTAACTATAAAATAATTTTATTTTTTGTATTCGAACGTGCTACAATACAATATAAGCTATAGGCTATTATATTATTGTTGATGAAATACAATTAGAACAATATACTTGAATAATGATAAAACAAAACCATATTCTCGTTACAAAAGAATAGTAAAGTAAAGGTTTTATAAACATTATATGTCACTAATGTACATGAACGTTGCACTAATTGCATAACAGTAAAAGGTTATTTAACTTTGATTGAGAAGAATCGAAAACAAAATATGTTTTTTTCCTTTTCAATAACATGCATTACAATAGTTGTCAGAATGTCACAATGCTCTTCAGAAAGGATCGATCATTTGATTATAGAACAGTTTTCTAAATCCTTGTTGTTTTGCGACATCTGTAAATCATATTTTCCGACGAAAAAAGAAATACGTAGTTTCTAATCGTCGATTCCTAAACCATTCATTCAGTCTAACTCATCGTCATTTTTTTGACAGAAGAAACAAAAGAACTCTTTTGTAGTATCTTTTTTTGTTTCTAATTCTACTATTATGTGTTTTCTTTGGTATTCATTTATTTTGTTTCTTACTTTTCCTTTTATTACACGTGAAACTACTAATATAACTCACAATATTACAAATGGGACGATCAATTTATTTGATTTTGATTATCCATATATAACTATATTAGGTGCATTGACAAATAATGAACATATTAAAATTCTCAATGAACATACTAATCAATTATATAGAACATCTTTAAATGAAGAAATTTACCTTTCATCTAAATCATTTATTCTTGATTCAAATCCATTATTAATAACAATGAAATTATGTGAAATAGGAAATCTATCACATGCCAAAGCTATTATTGCTGGTCGAGGTTTAGATGAAAATGATTTAACTTTAACTGCTATTTCATATGTATCAGATTTTTATCATATACCTGTATTAACAATAGCATCAAGAGAAAATCTTTTTTCGGATAAAGTAAAATAAAAATAATAAACGAAAATAGAAGATAGAGATAACATTTAATATTTTAGGCATTTTATAATTTTATTGTACGACTTGTACCACCATATTTATATGAAGCTGATGCATGGTTTAGCATTGTTCGTCAATTAAAATATACAAAAGTTATATTAATTTATAGTCAAGATGAAGAGGGTCGAATGGTTGCATCTAGATTCCAAATGTTAGCCGAGGATTCTGATATACATGTGAGATTTTGATTGTAATAAAAAATATTTTATTTAATAATTGTACTCTTAGATTGAACGAACGGAAGAATATGAATCAAATACAAATTTTACATCATTAATATCTAATTTAACATATGAAGATCGTTTATTAGCACGTGTTTTTATTATTCACACAAGGTTTATTTTATCTAATTATTAATTATTTTTATTTGAAATTCTTTTATTTATAGAATTGAAGATACCGATGAGTTATTATCAGCTATTGTACGTTTACAACATTTAGAAAATTCTGTTTGGATTATAAATGAACGTGCATTAACATCAAATAGTACAGTACTTTTTGATGGTCTTCTTGGCGTTAGATTACATAATTCATTCAATGAAGAAAATCTTCTTATTGATGCAACAAAACTTCTTGTTAATACATTTGATAAATTTAATGATCATGCATCATTATTTTGGAGTACAAAAACACCAGCTATTAATTGTTTATCAACAGAATCGTGGTTATATGGAAAAGACCTTTACAAGTATATGCAATTTTTAGTTTTAGTTTTTCTATGTAGAAAATTTTCTTTTTTAGAGAATTATTGAATAGTAGTGTTATAAATGGTATTACAGGAAATATTGAATTTAATGAAGAAGGCGATCGTGTTGAATCATTGTATGATATAATTAATGTTCAAAAAGGACAATTAAAAGTTGTTGGAAATTATCGATCGAATACGGTGAGATGATGATTAACAATAAATAAATAAAAGTTTTGAATAAGTGTATGAAGTAATAGAGAAAAGGAAATTTCGAGTAGAGAAGAATAAGAATTCGAAAGATACTTATTAATCAGAAATTTTGAATTAAAAAGTCGACAGTTTTTAGATCTTATTGGAATTCTAAATATAATGGAATAAGTAACAAACTGAAAGCTGATTTATGACTTTCAGTCAATCGAGTAGATTTTATGAACATGTTCGAGCTAATCAATAAAAAAGAAGAAATATATTATAAGATCATCCTGTCGATTTATGATCTGAATTCATACAAAAAAACTAACTGTCGACGTCTATTGCTGTTAGGAAACATGTATTAGACTATTCTATTAAGTAAAATTCAGCGTAGTCGACTTACTCTACTTGACAAACCCATTTTCATATCAATTTATTGTTTAGTATTATAGAGTCAAGGGTGTTTCGAGCCGAGGATAACCTCCTCTAATCTTGAAAAATTATCGTTTGTATCCAACAGAGTTCCAATATTTTCTTATTTGTTGATCGTCAATAACAAAAATCTTCCAAATGACTTTCTTAGTCATCACTCTCTCTCCAATCTTGGCAACCTCGGGATATCCCTGCGTAGATTTGTTTATATTTCCTACTATATTGGAGTTATATTTCAAACGAACATGAAACATATCAGCAGGAATATAACGTGAGAATCATATTAAATATAAAGTAAATAAATAAACAATATTCATGTCCAACAATAATTTAATTAATATATATAAATCTTATAGAGAATTTATAGTTCTTTGAACTTTGCTAATATATAGTCAGAAAGAAACAACTAATAGTCACTAACAATGAAAAGTGATGTAGTAACTAGATATGTATCTTCAGTGTAAAAAAAGCCGTAGAATAATAAATCCTACGAAAAGAATTTATTATTCTACGCTTTTTTTTACAGTGAAGATAATACAAATTTCAACGAGACCAGGACCGACACTTTTTCATTGGGAACAATATCTTTAATGTTTGTGTAAAACTTGCGTTGAATGTCCTATTGTCAAGACTCGTATGTTCCTAATAGCTATGAGTCAAATGGTTCCAGCGGAACCGCAACCGGCAACGACGAATTCCACTTATGTCTAGTAGTAATGAACTAGGATGCTTACATCATGGCTGTAGCAATGAACAGATAGCTATGTCTGATCGAGAAATTGATTCAACTGTTATATACTGAGAAAAGTGAACGGATAACTCATGTGGCTGTATTGATTGGTTGAGTTGTGGTCTGCCTGTTTATATCATTACGGCGTCGGTTAGAACTATGCCTTGAATAATAAATTCGTACTCTCAGTAGGACTAATCAAAAGAGAACTTTTAATTTATTCTGTTGTATAAAACTTTCTAATAAATTTATTTTATTTTTCTAGAGTACATGTTATACAAGTGCAATGTGTCGACAAATTGTGAGTTTATTTATTTAATAATAATTAGCATGAAAGATCATGATATTTCCCTTCCTGTTGTTGTTTGTATGTTATTCCTTATGTTGTTGTGATGTTAATAGAATTATTATTTATGATTATTTATTTATATTTTCTTAGATTGATAAAACAGAATTAAATCTTGACGAACAAGAAATAATTTGGCCTAGTGGACTTCGTCAAAAACCATATGGAATTCGAACAAGACAAAATGTTTCGGTTAGAATAATAAATATTATTTATATTGATATTGCTATATATTTTAATATAGGTTGTTACTATTGCTGAAAAACCATTTATTTTTACTCGTTCAGGCAATGACTGTCATCTTGGTACAGAAGTACTATGTCCAAGAAAAAAATTAAATGGTATAGAAAAGAATTTTAATTATTTTTTAAAAGTTTTTTAAAATGTTTACTTAGATTCAATTAATGATGAATATGAAAATTTTTGTTGTCGTGGTTATTGTATTGATTTATTACAAGAATTATCAAAAAATTTAAGTTTTGTTTATACATTACATCTTGTTGCTGATAATAAATATGGATCATATGAAAGAGTAAATAATTATATTGTAAAATGAAAAGAAAATATTCTAGATTCTGTCTACATTCCTTTCTCTCATGCATTTTAATTTTTTTCGAATTATTCTTCCGTCTAAATTCATTTGTATTTTAACTATATTCATTATCAATATAGTTTTATTGATTAGATAAGTTGTAGATAGTAACTATTGAAATACAATAGTTATTATTCAACTTGAATGAATTTGATAGTCTCATCATATATTTAATTATCAATGTTCAATCGGAAAATCGTTTAAGTCATTTCCCGAGTCTTTAGTCTGCCTTTTTATATGTCTATGATTGACTTTTATTAGCTTAATGTTATTGAAATGTATGTCGCTCTACCTTTTGGTAAAACACAATACATACATATTTACATATAAGCATTTTTCATATACACAATCATCATTTCATGAATATGACGTCTAATGAGTGTATATTACCCACGAGCTGTATCTTAATTAATATCCGATGACGAGTGATTATAAAACAGAACCATTTGAGTTAATCTGATTGAAGATCATCTATGACAATCGATAAAATCAATTTTCTTTCTATAAAATTCAACGACAATATCGATGGATCGGAAAGTTTGTAGACAAGATGTTTATTAATGTTTGACTCGCTAGAAAGTATTTGCGACGAGTTACGACCAAAAAAATGTTGTACTTTTTTCCAAATATAAACTTAGAAATTTTATCTCTTTCAATTCGAAACTCAAAGTTGTGATATTTATTTATATATCAGCTTGTAGATTAGAAGCTATCCTATAAAATACACTATTTGAAGTGTTTGCTTTAGTTTTCATTTTTCCTAAATACTCATTTTAGAAAAGTCAACAAATGTTTTACGGTGAAATCAGCTCTTGGAAAAATGTCTGTAGTCTTACTTTAGTGAAAGCTACAGCTTACGAGGGAATCTTTTCAGCTACCTTATTCCAATGTCAATAATTTTGTACCTATAAATACTACACATTGTTCTAATAAAAAATGAGTTCCTATTGAAATTTGACTAAGCCATTGAATTTTTAATATGCCTATTTTCTAGTGGCGCCAGGTTTTCGGAAAACTCGTATTTTCAAATTTTGATCTGAAACTTTACATATATAGAGAAATCAACTAGACTAATTTCTGTAAAAATAATTCACAAGTTTTGAACAAAATGTTTTCGAGATATGAAGCTTTCATATTATATACACTATCCATGGAAAAGGATCAATATATATTGAAAGTCTCATATCTCGAAGAGACGGTGTTCAAAACTTGCGCATTTGTTATGGAATCTAGCCTGCTAGTTGAGTTCTTTATATGTGCAAAGTTTCAGATCAAAATTACAAAAGAAAATGCAGTTTTTCCCAAAACCTAGGATCTCTAGAAAATAAACATATTAAGATTTTGATAATTCAGTCAAGTTCCAATAGGAACCCTGTTTTTATTAGAATACTATGTAGTATCTACTGACAAGAAAAATCATTGAAACTGAAAGGGGAAGGAGTTGAAGGAGTTTCCTCGTTAGCTCAGTATTACACGGTGTAAAGAAGTGTTCGCTATATAAAATAATCAACTCCAAGAAATTTTAGAATATTCAAAAAAGAACTTATAGGGTAAATATAAATCTGTAGGCTTACCATTTTTAGGACTTTCAAAAGGTCTCTTGGTACTGTTCGACAAAAAATAGACGCAGCATTTATAAGCCTAATATTCAAATTCTTCTCACGATTCATAGTTTTTAGCTCGTCTGAAATGCTTTCAAGGAGATTGAAATGAGCAAACATGCTCACCGGAAATGTCGATCCACAAGTTCTGTCCAAACTAATGTTTTGAGTTTTTTAAAGATTATTTCATTATTCTCTCAATCATTACTCTATTGTTCTAGGAAGGAGATGATGGACATAAACGATGGGATGGTATGATAGGTGAACTAATAAATTATCAAGCTGATATGATTATAGCTCCATTAACAATTAGTCCTGAGCGTGCAGAAGATATTGAATTTACTAAACCATTTAAATATCAAGGTATTACTATTCTTGTACGAAAGGTAAATTCATTTTCATATAGAAAAATTCCAAAATTCAAATAAAAAAAATATATTTAGAGTACAAGTACATCTAGTTTAACATCATTTTTACAACCATTTCAAGACGCTTTATGGATGATGGTTTTATTATCTGTACATGTTGTTGCTGTTGTTTTATATTTACTTGATCGTTTTTCACCATTTGGTCGATTTGGTTTTTCATCACAACAAAAAACAGAACGTGGAAATGGTCCAGCTATTGAAATTAATACAGAAGAAGATGCACTTAATCTATCACGTGCACTTTGGTTTACTTGGGGAATATTATTAAATTCAGGAATTGGAGAAGGTTTAAATAAAACGAAAAACAAAACATTTCGACTTATTTGATTTGATTTCTATTATTGTTTAGGAACACCGAGAAGTTTTGCTGCTCGTGTTCTTGGTATGGTTTGGGCAGGTTTTGCTATGATTATGGTAGCTTCCTATACAGCTAATTTAGCTGCTTTTCTTGTGCTTGATCGACCCGAAGCAAGTATATCGGGAATTAATGATGCTCGAGTACGTTACTAAAATTTTACATAGATTTATTTGATTTTTATTGTTTATATTATTAGTTAAGAAATCCTCCAGAAGGTTTTACATATGCAACAGTAAAAGGATCATCTGTCGATATGTATTTCAAACGACAAGTTGGTATGTTTAAAAAAAGCAGTTTATCAGCGCAGCCCTTTTGGATCTAATTTGTGAAACTCATATGTCTTCTTTAGCCTTATTATACTATGTAAACTGAAACATCTCTAGCGGACTAGGGTCGTTTTCCCAAGAAAATCTATCACTTGGAGTACAAACTCTCTTATTTATTTGTGTACCTTTTATTCTAATTATTGGTTTTGAGTGGCAAATAAGCCTGCTGTACATATCAATTGTACAATCCTGAACAAAAATAATAGTCTCCATGAAGTAGTGCTACTATTCTTTATGACATTGAATTGATATTTCGAATGCATGCATGGAAAAATACATTCTAATAGCAAGTAACAATCAGTTTTCCATCGGTTCACATGTACTGAAGTAATGATTCAGACATCATCTTTTCTTAGTTATGAAGTCACAACTATTTTCTTTTAATCATTCATTCAAGAGCTTACTGTCGTAGCTGAAACCTAGTTCAAATTTAGTTAGAGATCATTTTGAAATAACTGTGATATTGTTCTCTCATTAAAAATGTCTGTTGAAGAGCAAATGCTGACTTTTAGCAAGATAGAACTTTTTCACGATGACTTTCATTAATCCTTGTGACCATTTCAATGAAAAGTTCTCATGAGACAATAAGTCTTTTCTGAAATTTTTAGATCTGTAGAACTGAATGAAGTTGAGTTAGTGCTATGATATGAGTTCACTATCGTAGCTCTTGCTAATTACTAAGATCTTGAGGATATTGGCAAAAAAAAAGGAAGAGCAATTGCATTTTGAAGTTTTCTTCTCAATGGTAATAGCTAGCAAGAATCTAAAAAAATTTATTAGTGTAGCTATAAGGATTCTCTATCAGGATTGGTAAATATGAAGATCCTATCAAAACTGTTTGGATGAGAGTCTGCAGAAAACCAAGACTCCAGAATCAGTTTTTGGACTTCCATTGAAAACTTTTGGGAAAAGGTTTTATTTGATAGAACAAATCCTTCTGAGAAAAATGCTGCGTCTTCGATTTTTTCGTGATCTTCCTCTACTCAGCTGCATGCAATGTACAGAAAATCTCAAAGCATCAAACATAGCGAAAACGTTGTAATCTTCAATAAAAAGAAGAGGAATATTACTTCTTGAGCTTTTTGTTAATTGAATGCGCTCCGATGAAGAAAGACGATGGTGAGGTCGAGGACGTGTCATTTTGGTCAGAATTATTTGCTCTATCAAAATCAAATCTTTATCCAAAAGTTTTCAATTGAAATCAAAAGAACAGATTGTGAGGGTCTTGGTTTTTCACAAGCTGCCAATCCTCATAGAGAATATAATTGCTCTATAGTTATGTTAGGTACTCTATCTATTAAGGGCTTTTGGTAATAATAAATTAGAAATATGGGACTATCTTCATCGCTAGAACAACAACAGTAGTAGCCTGTGGAATGGCAAAATGATAAACAAAAGAAAAAAGGTTGAGTACATATTTTTGCTTAATATGTTCCCTACAAGGAAAAGAACATGCAAGCTGATGGAAGGCGGATTGTTGCTTGTGATCAAGGCTTATTGATGTACGCATGTACCCAAAATATCACTTCAATATCATAAAGAATTGTAGTACTTCATAGAGAGTGATTCCTTTTTACCTGGATTGTATCCACGGTAGGTTTCGGCATACTGTTATATATCTTGACAAGTTCATAAACACTGATATTGATTATTTCTCAAAGTTCTCACTTGATCAGTTCACGCATGTTGATGTTGATTATATAACCATTGTAGCAAATCAACGTATCATAACTCATCTTTCCTGACATCTTGAATATAAATTTTTATTTGCATGAAAATCAAAAACTGTACTTTTTAAAACATTGACAAATGTATTCTAGCTATTGAAATTGTTAGGAGGAGTTTAGAATATTCTAGAACAGTCTAAGTCTTCTTATTAATTCCGTTGCTAAGGAACTCTGAGAAAGGAGTCTGACGCTTGCTGTCCCCGGTTGCAATAGATACATATTGAAGGATCATTGACCTCCTCCGTCTTCGTTGCTATGAAGGAGCCGAAAAATCTCGACTTAAAACTTACACTCACTAATATGTGAGTTCTACAAAAAAATAACAAACAAACTAAAAGAATATAATTAAACATCCAATTGTTTTATTCATAGAACTTTCGACAATGTATCGAACAATGGAATCAAAAATTTATTTAACAGCTGAAGATGCAATAACAGCTTTAAGAGATGGGTAAAGAAAAGAAAATCATTGTATTATAATAATAAAAATCATTCCGTTTGTTTTTCTAGAAAATTAACAGCATTTATTTGGGATTCACCAAGACTTGAATATGAAGCAGCACAAGATTGTGAGTTAGTTACAGCTGGTGAATTATTTGGACGATCAAGTTATGGAATTGCATTAAGAAAAAGAGATGCATGGATTAATCCATTATCACATGCAATATTATCATTTCATGAAAGAGGTTTTATGGAAACACTTGATAATGAATGGATTTTTTCCAAAGGGTATATCAATATTTTATTTATATATTAATAATTTTAATTTTTTAGAATGAAACAATGTTCAGATCGATCATCATCACCAGCAACACTTGGTGTAAAAAATATGCTTGGTAAGAAAAATATATTTTTTTTGTTTTGTTTTTGTATTAATTTATTATTATTTAAATAATATAGGTGTTTTTCTACTTGTGGCTGGTGGAATATTTGCTGGATTTTTTCTTCTTGCTATTGAAATAGCATTTAAAAGACGTAAAGAAAAACGAGAAAAAGAAATGGAAATATCTCGAAATGCTCTTCTTCATTGGAGAAAAAAAATTGAGGTAAATTATATTGACTATTCTCATATTGTATTCTCTTGAATAATTGTGAATGATAAATATTCCCTTATGATACTTTTATTTTCTTTTGTATCAGAATAAGTTGTGAATACATCATAGATTATTGTTTATTTAATGAAACTACTTAACATTGTAAACGAGAAAACATGATTGATATACAATCTTGAATGAAAAGCAAACAATAATCGTCTCGACCTGCGAGACGGGGCGGAGCGAACAAACGATTGAGTGACATGCCTAACCTTTATTACAGATCATAATAGATCAAAATGTTTGTCACGGTCTCAAACATGACAAAGGTCCTATTCGACAATTATAAGAACTAAATAGATGAGTCTTTTCTTACATTCAAATACAGATCACTACAGCATTGAAAACAATTCTGACTAGAGCCCTTGGGATCCAACATTTTTGAACCCGATTAGCAGAAAAATTTTAAACTCAAATCGAAACTCGATCAAGTTTGTGACGGGGACCAAACTAGACGAGCGTTAATCCTGACAAATGTTTAGCAAGATTCATATTGGGCAACACTGGAATATCTAACACTATCAAACATTCATTTATTATTCGATAGAATCATAGATTATCTATCAGAGACCCAATTGAATCGAGTTTTACTAATTTAAGTTTTGTTTAGTTTGCCTTTGTTTTCTAAAAAAATAGTTTAAGTTAGGTACTGATCGGTTTAAATTGAATCGTTATAATGCGATTTGGTTCATTATTGGTCGATTTTACAAAAAAAGGGTGATAGTTATTTTTCTTATACGTTTACCTTTATTCTCACTGGCTTTTCAAAAATTAGTTGAAGTTAGGTTCGATCTCTATCACCTATATAACAGTGTAAATCGTAATTTTCAACCTCTTGATGTTTATAAGTTTTCTGAGAAAAATTATTAAATTTTTTTGTAAACTATAGAAACGTAAACAACGCTCAATGATATATGACTCTGATAATCAACAACAACCAACGGCTGATATAGACTCACTAAATGAACTACCATTAAATCGAATTGATCATCATAAACCATCCAATATGACAAACAATACACCAAATTTGATTTATTAATAGCAAACAGATGAAAATTATTTTTTTTTGTCAATTATTTTAAATTTTTATTCGTAGAATTTTTTTTTCTATCTAGTCATCATTGTCTGATAGTTGTTTCTGTTTGTACTGTATTATTTCTTTAATTAAGCAAATAAAAAAAAAACAAAAAAAAAAATAAATTATTTCAAATTTCTGTCACATAGTTCAATCAAAACATACGATGCGCTAGCCGATTCAGAGAGTGAACTGAAGCAACAGTAGCCTTCATTTCCAAAAAACTTTCGTTTTTAGTTTTCTCTTATAAAAAAGGGTTTCGACTACATCGATTGATTCTCCAGATAATTATTTTCGCCTACAGTCGCCTTTCTCTTTAATAGACCTATATCTAACCTGTGACTGTTCGAACTGACATGTGACAATCTACAACAAGAGATATTCTTGGAAAAAAAAATAATAAAGACTATTTATATTAGCTCTTGGATATAGAAATATGAATAGCGACGATGATTGACAACTTATCTTTCTTCTTTTTTTTTTCTTTTCTGCTTTTCATCAAGAATAGAGAACTAATATTAATCTATACGTAACATCTTGCGCTACAACTGAGTAAACGAACAATCCACATATGTATACATCATCATTATCATCATCGATTGCTGCTTTATGTTCTTTATATGTGAGAGAGTATTAGTCGAACGATGTCATTTTAGGAAAACTAGCCAAGAGAGAATTGTCATAATAGACCGTGATAGAATATACACATCTTTTATCTACAAGTTGAAGGAGAATGTTACCGATGACCATGAATTACGTCGTTTGTCGTACGAAGGGACTTCTATTTTACTTCTCTTGATTATAGTTAACTTGATTGACAGAGTATATTTATTAGAAGTCTTGAAACAACAAGACTGGCAAACTTCTATAGAAAATTATTTATCATGGTAAGTAAAAACTATTTTATGATTAGCAAACATTTGCCAACATTTTCAGTTGGATAAGATACATATTTTTATCCTTATACTCTTTCTATTCGTAGGTTTTATTCTTTTATCTAATATTACAATGATAGTTGCAACTCGAGAAAGTCATTCACGTCTCCTTCATTTTTCTGAACATCGTCCTCGTCGTCGTCATCATACATTAGATAATGCAACATTAGATCAATTTAATTTTATTTGTGTACCATTAAATCTTGACGAGGTAAAGTTTTTCTATTTATTAACTAATAATATCAATTAGCCTTGGTCCATATGGTATCTACGTAATCGACATCTGTAAATGAAAGTTTTCTTTTTCCCAGTCTAATTAAACCTCATGATATAGAGCCAAAATCTATTACATGAAAAACCTTTTTAATAAATTATTTTTATACTAATATAGGGACGGATTAATCCGTCATGGTCTCATTCTAATTTAACTAGTACATCTTCAAACGATTTTTCAAATTCAAAACCAACAAGATTATCATCTCCTACACGTCGTGTTCGTTTTAAATTTGATGAAAATAATAAAAATGAAGGTGCTAATAATGATGAACATGCACGTTCATCCGATGTTATTCGATTGCCAAAGAATTATTCAATTCATCGTGTTGAATTTCAAATTCCTATTCATACTGGTATCATCATTATAATATTGTATAATATACATATCGTCAATGTTTGTCTTTTTTTTTTCATTCAAGATGTCAATCCATGGTTAAATATTGATTGTTCATCTACAATGCCTACACCAGCTAAAACACGTTCGTTAACATCACAAAAAATTGATATAAACTATAGCAATAATAATAATAATTCGATAAATGGACAAGAAATGACAACGTTCATCAATTCTCCAACAGTACGTAAGAAGGAAAAATATTCATTTCACATTATTCAAAGAATGTATTATTGAAAGAAATATGTGTTCAATATCGATTATGTATTGAAAGACATAATGATATTTTAACCTTCTGCTACTAGTTTATATACTTGATTGGCATGATAAGACTATAGATACGTGATAGGATATTGTTTGATTATACACTGATATTGTTTAACATATACATGAATACGTGAATGATTGACGTATTGTTTATTGTCAAAAATACTATTCTTTGGTTGGTATTCATTCATTATAATTGTTAAGAACTATGTTAACAATCATTTTCTTTTGGAAGTATCCTGCAGCGACTGGTTAATTTATTTTCATTGAAATATAAGAAGGAAATATGTGAAGAGAATTAAATGAATCAAAGAATAGAAGATCACAGTGAACATAGTATAATCCAGAATAGTTTTCTTCTTCTTTCGTTCTGATCTGATGTTATTTGTTCGTTCGTTTGCATATTTGATTTGTAGAGCAGCAAAAACAAGCCAGTCATCGTTATAGACCCGCTTCGTTCTCGTCGGCAATCGCTTCTTTTCTGGTTTCCCTTTTCTTTCCTTTTTTTTTTACAGTCAGCCGGTGCACCATCATGCTCGACAACAAGGCAAAAAGTCTTATCTATAGAGCAAAAACAACAACAAAACCGAACGTGCGGACGTTCTTTAGTCGTCTTCTCTTTTGCTTTCTTCTTCTCAATGTTAGAAATAGTGGCCCATCAATATTTTTTAATGTCGTTATTGTCTATGTGAATATGCCTTAGAAATAAAAAGAGCAAACAATAGATTGTACTTTTGCCATCGCACAATTATCAATTGATCAAAGCTTGATCAGCATATACACATTGTTAACATTTTCATACTATTACTATGGATATAAATACTCTTTCAACAGCATGATCATGTCATAGAAAATAAGTGTGATTTATGCTTATTGGTAATGGATAACACAAAGAAAACACCTCAACCTAATGCTGCTTGTCGCTGTCAGCAGGTAGTAGAAAGAAAAAAGATATTAATGTCATATTTTGTCTTGACAAATATAATATAGAAATGTTTTTCTTCTAGTCTTTTTTCTACATTATTGATTTTTTTCTTCTTCTGTATTTGCTTAATAATTTTATAATTTGACAAACATCAAAGAAAAGATTTTTCCTCTGTCTTTTTTTTACATTTTTGATTAATATTTGTTATACAAAACCTTGAATACTAACATAAAACTATATGTTCATCAAATGATCAGATCAAATGATTTTTCTTATAGTTAATTGTATAAATATATTGTCATTTGTGATAGAAAGTTAAAAATAAATCAAAGATAAACATTAAATTACAATGTATTAAAGAAACATATGTTTTTCTTATTTTCGAAATTTTATATTTCATCTCAAACGACATTAACCATCTTCTTTTTATATTTATTCGAAATATCACACTCATCAATCATCACATAAACTAATATACGTGCATGATATGCCATTTGACGTTTTTTTTTTGACATACAAACACACTCTTTGTAATAATAACAATATTGTCATTACTTTCACCTTTACGCTCTCTCTCTTTTTTTTACACTCCTTGTGTTACTATAGCTTGTTTGATCTGTTGTCTGGTGAGAATTGATTATTGTATAATAACTAGTGAAGGATAGACAAGAACATTTGTTCAGTCAACAAACGGTAAAGACAAAAAAGTGTAAGAAGTTTGGGGTATAAATATGACATTGTAGTGTCATATGCTAAATAGGTTAACGCGTGACACAGGGGAGAATAAACGTTATTTTTACTTCTGACGAAACATTCATGAGATGTAAGGAGATTTATATTGGGTTGAATCGAATATAAGCTAAAAAAAGATAATATATATGTATAGATAATATTATCTATTATATTCTTCTAGCTGTCAACTGTCGATTGTGACAAAACTCAAACACAGTGGTACAAAGACATGTATTGTCAAATACATAAAACACCTGAAAATAAGAAAGGTAAAGTAATTCAAAATATATTTTATGTTCATCGTTTATGCTTTTAATGATATACAAAAAAACAACACAAACAACTTAAAATTAGTTCGAAAGACTAGTATAAATCTAATCATGATTTAGATGTCCTTCTTGTCAAATTACCTCCTACACCTTCTCGATATCGAGAATATTATCAGTATCAAGGTTTGTTAATAGTTTATTCTACAAACATCCTATATCAATAGGCATGTTGCTTTCCAGTTTTTGTTTCTTCATGCTTTTTTCTTCTGTTGCCTATGAGAAATTATGAAGATGTTGAGTGAAGTACATCAACATTCTCTTAATGGCTTTCAATGTATCGTACAATACTTTGTGTATGTGATGAATTTGAAGTAGATGCTATGGACAGTTTTACATTTATACAATCTATTCTAATAGTCTCTTTGTATATGGACGATAACAGACAATTGAACTCATTTACTGCGATAATACATAATACAATAGGAATGTTTAAAAATGAACTTTCTTTTTCTATTATATGATAAATGCTAAATCGTTATCTAAATATTGTATCCAAACATCTATCGCGGATCGAAATTACTTTTTTTTTTGTTTTATTCTATTGACCCATCGTTGTCTTCCTATATATATATATATAAGTCTCACTGTTTGTATTGCATGATGTTATCTTTTCTTTGTCCATATTCAATTGCATGAAAGAATTAATTTGAAAAAAAAATGTCATGTTTAAATGATATTTCTTTTCTTTTGTTTTAGACGAACAACAAAATCCATATAAACCAACATATACATTTCCCGAAGAATTTGATGGTAATTTCGAACGTATGGAAGACTATATGAAAAAAGCAGCTTCGCAAAATATCGACGATGATTATCGTAAGATTGAAATAAGATAAGGTATTGAAATAAATTAATTATTTTATATAGGACATGTTCCTTCTTCACCTATACGAACATCAACTACAGCTATTAAGTAAGAGATAATTTATAAAATATGCATGTACTTAAATTTTCTTATTACAGAGATCATAAAGCAATACCAAAACGAAATACAGAAAAACTAATACGTTTTGATGATCAATTATCATCACCTACAATGACAGCATCTTCGGTGGAACGAGCTAAATCAGTACGTAAAAAAAGAAAGATATATATATATATATAAGTTAATATGCACATCTGTTCATTAACTCAATAGAATAATGATGCTTCGACATCATCTATCATGATCAATTCAAGACCGAACACGAACTGGTAAGTTCATTGATGCATAATAATTTGTCATGGTTGTTACTATTCTTAGTATTCGAACACCATCATCAATAACAGATGATGAACAAAAATTAATCTACAAACAAATATTACGTGGTGGAGATATTCCATCAACTGGTTTACAAAAATTTTCTGCTAACAATAGAGGTAGGCATTTTGATTTCTTTTTTTTTCTCATGTGAATAAGAATGTCGGTAACAGCTGCCGTGAAAAAGAGAAAAAAAACACGAATAGTAATCAAAAAAAACGATCACTTGCTGTTGCAAATTCATAATGAAAGTTTCATCTTCATCAAAACAGCGTCCTTTAATCCTTACAAATAATTCTTCACTATCACCGAAATTATTTGCTTATTATTCTTTACATTGGGAACAAAATCAAACGAATCAGTCAAATGATTTAATTGACAGTAATATGCGTTTTGAAATAAATTCATGTTTATATTTTCAAAATATAAATAATACTGAAGATGATAATGAATTGGAACAAATACGTGAAGATGGTTGTGGATATGTCATAACTTATCCTCCTTATATTCATCCAACAGATAATTTACAAATATATAATTTTGATCGTACAAAAAATTTTCTTTTAACATCGAATGATGTTTATTCTGACAGTAAGAGAAATTATATATATATATATTTTTTTTTTTGATTAATAAACTAGAAATAGAATAGAATAAATAAAAACTAAATTTAACATGAATAACAGTTAAAAATAGAATCTAGATAATTTATTGACATAATAATAAAACAAAGAAGGTCTTGTATTCACTCGCTCTCTCTCTCTTTTTTTTTTTTATTACTTATTCTTATCAGCATATTTCTATTAAAAAGTGTCAAATAAGTGGCGGATCGAAGCATTTAACCTTTTAACTAGTTACTTTTTTTTTTGCTTCTATCTGCTTACATCATACAAGATGCTTTCAATTTCAATCAATACATATAGTTTAGATTTTTCTTTTTCTTTCGAAAAGTCTGCATCTTGAGATGGTTATGTAGTAAAAAAAAAGAAGAAACCAATGAACAACAACATCAAAGAACATACTTATACACACACATGCACATTCATCTTTTCTATAGCTATACAAAAAAAACTGTTAGCATTTGGTAACCTTGAGAGATAGTGAGAAGGTTTTTTTGTTTCTCTCGACCTCGTTATGATGAGACATCTGTCTCGTGTCTTTTGATATCCATAAATATAATGTGTGATTAGATGAGAATGAAATAGAAGCAGAAGAGCGAAAGAGTTGTATGTTAACATACAGATTGCATAAATATATTTGACCTCGACGATATACAGACAAGCAGCGTAGTATATAAAAAATCAATACTGACGAGTTAGTTACTCATTGATTCCTGAAGAGTAATTAGAAATGATGATTACTATCTGCACCTGTGGTTGTATATCGCATAGTTATTTCATAGAAAAACCTTGAATCGATACGCATACTCTGATCTTTTTTTGAGTAATTGATTTCATCGATCTGTTTTCCTTTTATTGGTATGTGTCTCTTTTTTTCTCGTTATAAATATTATATTTCAATTTATTCTAAATATCCTTTTTTTCTTTCTTGTTTTTTCTTGTTTTGTATTCAGTCTGCTTAAACTCAGTAATTCGCGTAATATCGTACTATGTGACAGTAATATAAATTGAGAATATATAAGAGCGTTGTTCATCGTAACAACTGCAAAAAAATAAAAAGGAAGAAAAAAAAAGATCGAAAAGTATGTATGCATTCGAGATGCTTTGATGATGATTCGATGTGCGTTCGTATATATGTATGCTTATGTGAATACACATAGACAGAGCATCAACATCAATAACATACGCATGCACATAAAAAAGAGAACACTTATTTACACATATTTACACGACTAGAGGCATCGAGAAGCAGAAGAACGAGGGGAAACGAGAGAAAAAAAAATCTAAAGCGAAATATTGCCATAACTATACATCAACACTATTGTACATTTACTCTAGCTTTCTCCGCTTGTTTTTTTTCTCTCTCTCTCTCTCTCTCTCTCTCTTTCTTTTCTTCTTCTCTTCTTTTTTGGCCGAGTTTTTCATATTTATTCTCTTCTATTCTCCCGGCGTCACACTGCGATGACGATCATTGTGAGAATGTGGGTATTTTTTTTTTCATACGTATGAGAGAGAAAGAAAAAAAAGAAAAATAGACCTTAGTAGTAATTAACGAAAAGAAGACAAAGAAAAAAAAAATAGTCAAAAGAACTACTCTTCATACATTCAAAGCATACCTACACAATTAGACTAAGAATAACATCGATTATCATCGTTGTCTGTTCAGTATATTATATATATACATGTGTATATCCGTTCATAACACTTCACTTGTAGATAAATAGACACAAGCCTTTCTTTTTTTTTCCTCGTTTCGCTTTATCTTTATCATTTCCACGGCTCATTGACAAAAAAAGTAGGCGACAAACGACCAGGTAGTGTGCATATATAATATACATACCGGACCGTCATCATATTACGAAGATTCGAATGAGTGTCAGTCATTCATTATAATTGCGCGATCAACCATATTGACAAAGAAGAAGAAGAAGAAGAACAAGAAGAAAAAAGAACGAGAACTATTACCGCTTTTCGTATTCGTTGTATTAAAATAAATGGCAGACGAAAAAGCTATTAGTAAAATTGAAACTGACACTACTGAAACTACTGGTAATGGCCTAAATGAACTCGTTCGTATTGTTAATAATCATATTAATCCCGTATCTTCGTCATCTGGTTCGACACGTACATATACTCCACCTTTAATGGGTACATCAGCTCGTGCTGCTAAACGTCGAATTGATAGTGATTCTGGACCAATACGTATTGAAGGTACAGATACATATAATCAACAATTACAACATCATTATCAAAATGTTCGACAAATATTAGATGATCAACAGCAACAACAACAAGAATTACATAGTTTAAATGATGACACACAACCTGATTCTCGACAATCTTTTAATGCTAAACGAGAATTTTTTGAACAACGTTTTAAAACACCACCGCCTACATATGATTCGCCACCAAGACAACAACAAGCACAAAAAATAATAACAACAATTACGACAACAACAACAGCAGCATCAACAAAAAATACTCATGATCGTACAAGTTCGTCATCGAATGAATCACCATCGGTTGATCGTGTACTTGAACAAGCCGTGGAATTACAAAAGATGAGTAATATCAGTCCACATAAAAATGATTTACAAACACCAGTTATTATTGAACGTACTGAAGAATATCAAGTATTTTTAGATTCTTCAAATCATGAAGTTCGTCGTACACCAAGTATTTCACGTACATCTATTGTTAATCTAACTAAAAGTGGTCATGCAACAGATCTTGATCAAGCACAAGCACAAGTTGAAGGTCTTACTGATGATCATCAAGCCATACAAGATTTAGCTCGTAAACTTCATGAACGTAATGAAACAACACTTAATGAATATAAACGTTTACCATCTCAAACAAATCAAAATCTTTCTTCATCATTATCAACATCACCATCACCATCTGATGTTCTTATTGATCGAACTAATTTACCAACATCAACAAATGAATTTTCTGTTCTTGATGCATTAGTTTATAATCCAATAGGAACAATAGATGGCAAATATCATAATTTATTAAATAAACGTTATAATGATATTCTAACAAATTTACGAAATCCAGAATATATAAATTCCTTGAAACAATCAACAACAGCAACAACAACAACAAAAAAAAAGAAAGAAGCAAAAAAGAAATCAAAAGAAAAAAAACCAAAAGAGAAAAAATCTAAGAAAAAAACGTCGTCAAAAACTGATACTATCGAACAAACAGTAGTTACATCTGATGTCAACACTCCCGAATCATTATTAACACAAACGACAGAACCAATTACAACAACGGCATTAGTCGAACAAACTCCATTAATTGATCCGAAAGAAAAGAAAAAACAAGATAAAGAAAATAAAAAAGCATCAAAAACGAAATCTAAAAACAAATTAAAAAATGAAGATTATCAAGTCGTTGATGCCATTGTCAGTAGTCCAATATCACTTCGTCTGCCAGATTCTTATCTGGTCAAGTATAACGTTAATCCACCACTATCTCCATCATCACCTCTCCAAGCTATTCCATCATCAGTAACACCAAATACGGTTGTTACAACAACGACAACTACTACGGCGACAACGACGGCGGCTACAACACCAAAAGATACTACTATTCCTGTAGTAGAAAAAAATCAGACCTTATATCATCTTATAAAGATCGTTAATGAACTTCAAGCACATCATGCAACTGCTTTAAAAACTTCATTATATACTGTACCATCAACAATGACTACAACAACTGAATCAAAAGAACCAATCTTTGTAACTAAACAATCAGAATCTATTATAAATGAAGTTGTTAATCAACAACCATTATTAGAAAAACAACAACGTCCAATAATTTCTCCTACTAATCAAGCAGAAACAAATCTACAATCTGAACCAATAAAACCACGTATTATTTATCGTTATATGGATGAACAAGGACGTATACTTAAAATATCATCTGTACCACCATCCGAATTACGTGAACAACCAGCACAACCATATGCATATTGTACTACAGAACCACCATATTTTTATGGTAGACATATTGCTATTGATGATGAACGTCGTCATCCATTACCACAATATGAACAACATGCTACATGGCAAGGTGAACCTAAACTACCTACAACTGTAACACGAGAAGATTTAGAATTACGTGATAGACGTGTACCACAATTAAGTGAACAATATGTACCTGCTGGACGAACAATACCTGTTTCAGTTGAACATGGACGTTCATCAAAAAGTGCTTCTCAACAACAACCTCAACGAATATATCATTATCCCAATCAACAAAATGTTAAATTAGCTTGGTTACCACTTTCGTATCCAACAGATCAAGTTATACCAATTGGTGCTGCTGGTTATGATACAGACTCAACAATTAGTGAGCGTTCAGCAACACATCGTAACTATGACTATGTACCAATCGATAGTCATTATCGTTATTCCAATCGACCACCTCATGATGATTATTATTATAATCGTTCACCAGGTCCATCCTATTATCGACAGCCACCATCCGCATATTATGGTGGTCCTGCTATGTCACCTGAATATGGTGGTTTATCTCGTAATTATATTGAAGTATTTCGTGGTGGTGATTTTCGTGAAACAAAACCAAGTGAGGTATATTCTTTACCATTGAGTGAACAAATGCGAACATCACCAAATTATCCATCAAGTAGTCGTCATTCACGTTATGATCAATATCAATCAGAAAGATATGGTACAATGTCCAATCGTCATGCTAATGTTCCATCATCACAACAAGTATATTGTTCTAATTCCTTACCAAAATCACGTTATCAACATAACATTCCACCATCAACTGTACATGCATCATCTTATTATACACATCGTAGTCCATATCATCATCGTACAGTTCAAAGTAGTCCTAATCCAGAATGCAGAAGTTATGTTCGTCATTCAAAATCATTTGATTATCGTCCATTACGTACAAAACTTCAACGTGAATATAAAATAACACCTAATTTACTTGTTGATGAATGGGATTATACACAAGCATCTGATAATATTAAATATTCAACAACAACATCAACTACAAATCGAAGTGGTGTTTCATCACCAGATGATGTTTTTATCAGTAATCGAACAAATCAGGCATAGCCTTGATAATCAAAGAAGAAAGATTATTTGCGAGAAAAAGATATAGAAAAAAACGACTATGCTCATTTAACTATCTTTCTTCCCTTTCTTTTATATATGCTTATATCCGTTTGTTTCATTTTTTTTTGACATTTTTTTATCTAGATTAATCGATCGTTACCGACTATTTTTAAACAGAGTAGAAATGCACTTGTCTTTTCGTAATAGGTATATAAAGCATTACTTTTTATATTATTATGCCGTGATATATTCATATATATATCAAGTAAATAAGAGAACGAAAATGTGTACGCGACTATATCATTAGAATAGCTGCACATCTTAGATAGAATGATAGTAACAAAAGATATAAGGTATATGTATATTATACATTACGTCGTTATTCATGAAGGCGCTTATGTAATCTATCACTTGTTTCAATTCATATCGAAATAGTTGCTAGCTTATACTTAACGTTCAAGTGGATGAATATACTTATAGTGGATATATATATATATATATATCTGTTTCTTGAAATATTATATAACCATACTTTCGATGAATAAACGCATTCAACAACATCTGTTAGAACAAAGCAAGGTTATTTTTTTTTTCTATTGACGTATGTTTTTTTAATTTATATAACAGAGCACTAGATTAATAATAATAACAAATGTGAATATAACATGAATTCTCATCAGACTTGATTAAAAAAAATTATTGGTCGTGGAGTATGTCGTGGTTGAGCGTTTTCTGGGAATTAGGTAGTAAAAAAAAAGCAATAAAATTCTTGAACTCAGCTGGGAAAAAAACGAAAATTTTTCAAGATTGAGATCACCTCTCCGCTCTGCTCGTGACATCCTTGTATAGATCTAAACTATGCTATGTGAATGGTAAATAAGAAATAATTATTTATTTTTTTTTTTTTTTGATATTTTCATCTTGTAGAATATAAATGGTATGTTGGTAAGTAAATAAGATAAGGGTAACTATTGATCTGTTATAACATTTCATAGAGCCATCTTTTGGCTTTCATAAAAATCGTTCTAATTCTACTATTAAATCATCATCATCATCATTTTCTGATAATAATCAATCTCGTAAGTTTTTTGTGTGTATAATATTCTTACTAAACTAAATTATGAAGGATATAGAAAAAAAGCAATGATGTTTTACTTACAAACACAAATGTGTATATGACATACGATGAATCCTAGATTCATCATTGACTTATCATTATTTTTCTTTTTTTGTTGATTTATAAATAATTTATTCTATAGAAAAACCAAATGATCGATCGAATGAATCATATGACCGACATGACCATGATCTTTTAGAATTAAATAGACAAAGATTTCAATCGTAAGTTGATATTAATCTTTTGAATTTTTATATCATATCAAATTTCTTATATTTAAGTCGAATAAATGATACTCAACCAATTTATAAAGCATTTGCTTTACATAATTTTTATCCTGAGACTGATAGGTACGATGAATAAATATTTAAAATAATATTTATCTGTTTGTTTCTTAAAGAGAATTACCTTTTAAAAAAGGTGATACCATACTTGTTAAACGTCGTATTAATGATGATTGGCTTGAAGGTGAACATCAAGGTTTAACGGGAATATTTCCTCTTAATCATGTTGAATTATTTCCATATGAAAAAATTGAACAAGAAAATTCTATTGATAAAGAACAACAAATAGAAGGTGAAGCTATTGTTAAATATGATTTTATACCAGAAAAAGCCTATGAATTACAATTAAGAAAAGTTTGTTATAAAATTCTATTGAAAAAAAAAAAACAATTTCATGAGATTACTTTTTTTTTCTCTATAATAATAGGGTGATAAAGTCATTCTATTACGAAAACTGGATAATAACTGGTATGAAGGACGACTTAATCATACACAAGGGATATTTCCTGCTGAATATGTTGAAACATTAAGAGAACCCAAGGGTAAAAATTTCACTTTTTATTGACTTTATTTTATTTAAAAATTGCAGGTAAATCATTAAAACAATCTGATCAAAATGAACATACAATGAATGCCATTAAAATGCCAAAAAGTGCATTAAAAAATTCTACTCGATTACAACAAACAGTTACGGAACAAATTAATGTCGTTCCAGAATCATCATTACCGATGCAGAAGTAAGTTTAATATGTGAACCATTTCATATCAAACAGAACATATTTATATTTCATATGATAATAATTCTTTACAATAGTAAAGACATGTGTAAATGTAGTGACTCTTTCAGTTAACTATTAATTACAAATAACTAATTAATTAGTAAATAAACTCCTAGACAAAAAATCTTCTCCTTGTCTCATTATTATTTTCTTCTAGAACTTCTTTGGCCTTATGTGAATGCTAGTTACAAGGATGACTTAAGTACTTTATTAAGATGTAGTATATGATTGATGGTAATTTGCTTCAATGAAGAATATACGTCTTTCAATACAATTGAGCAACACTACAAATGAGTTGGTTGATAAAATGCTTTACGACTCAGTTATCTTTTCTTTGGTATCTGCTAACTGTTTTATTAGCTTAAATCATTAAATTCTTTTCGTTATCGATTCGAAGCTTTCTCGAGAATGTAGCATTGCCAATTACTATAAATACAGATAAAGTAAAACATTCATAAAATATCAAGAAAAGAGATAATCCAATCATGAAGTATTCTGTCAACTAACTCATTTGTAGTGTTGACCGATTGTATTTTATGACGTACATTCTTCGTTAAAGTAGGTCGTAATCAATCATAAACTACAATAAAATACTATTTAAGTCATTCTTGTCACTAGCCCCATCAATGGATTTGACAGGAAAAGAATAAGAAAGGAAAGGAGAAAGATTTTTATTCAAGGATGTACCTCTCTAACCAGATGAGGAAAAAATCTAAAATCCTTCAAAATAGACTCTATAGCATAAACCATATCTATGGTGAAATTTTTAGTATCATATATTTCTTTTATTTAGAAACCATCTGTTTTTTTTTCATTTTTAGATGTCAAGTACTTTATGATTATACACCACAAAATTCAGATGAACTTGAAATTCATATTGGGGATATAATTAATATCGTTGAAATATGTGATGATGGATGGTATTGTGGAATAATGGAAAAATCCAATCATGGAAATAACATGGAATTTGGAACCTTTCCAGGCAATTATGTTAAATTATTATCTGGTTAAAAAGAAAAGAAACAATTCTATAATGGAAATGAAATGTTTCTTAAATAGTGATCTCCAATGTGCTGAATCTTTTTATTTATTTATTTTTTCTGCATTGACAACAATATTGCTTCTTTCTTATTGTATATCTCTAGTCGATATATTTAAATCTATTAAGAAATAGAAGATTATGTTATCTAAAATTGTCTTACAGTATCAATTGAACATAATAATTCTTAATAATGAATAAACAAAGAGAATTATCAATATCTTGAAATTCTATAAATCAGAAAAAGAAGATTTTTATTAAATGAAAAGCATGTTTTAGTGTTTTCTTGAATTTGACAAAAGTGAGAATTTACAATGTAGAACAATTTATCTGCTACTCTATCATGATGTATTTAAAATTATAAAAAAAAAGTCGTAAAATTCGATCATCGGAAATTGATCATTTAGTTAAAAGAAGAATATCGTAGTAAAATATCAGCAATGCATTTAGAAGCCTTTTTATATTATTGAAAAGAATGTATTAGAAGTTTTCTGTCATACATTAAAAGCTTTTCTCACTCATGTCTTGTGTATGTCTTCTTGATTAGAATGAGGAAAAAAAAATGTCCATAAAGCAGAATCAGAAGTGAGAAAGACAAAAATGATCGCAAATCGGAAAATGCCTGCAAACCAGAATCAAGTAAAAAAGACAAACATATCCACATGATGACAGCAAACGAAAATAAATATAGCTCGATTTAATAGGAGAATATGACTTCCTTCACGTCAATCTAGTGTCAGATGTTACGTGTTATTCAGACCGTTTTTGTTTTCAACATGTAGTCTTAAAGAAAGTATCAAAAGAGAAAGTAAGATAACTTCCCGTCTTTTTTGACTATTTCTAGCTTTCAAAAAGGTTTCAATCGATCAGATCGATATTTTTGCCGAGGGTTCGGTACCTGAAATAAGGAGATATGTGTTCGAAGAGATTTTTATGGAGAAGCTCTACTTTTTCCTAAGACCATATCGAAGTAAACCACAATCCGACTCTAATATTGTCCAATCGGACTGAAATTTTTACCACAGATAGTTGAAAGTATTCTCCAGAAGCCAAAGCAGTCGCTTTCATTTTGACCTTCATGTTGGGATTTATAGGATTCTAAAAGTCAAATCCTTGATTTTAGCTCCGAGCTTTTACGTATTTTTCTCATAAACAGGACAGAAAGTGAGCTTTTCGAAAAACTCAAAATTACTTGTGAGACATAATCTGTAGTATCTGAAAAAAAAAATTTTCAGATCAATCGGACAAAATTTGATAGAGGTCATAATTCACCAGGATGCGATCCTATGGGAAAATTAGAGTTTCCTGGCAAAGTCCTCTTTGAAATTTTTTCTTCAAACACGTGTCTACTTATTTTAGGTGCTCTATATATAGTAAAAGTTTCAGCTTAGTTGACTGAATTCTTGTCTGCAACCCAGATGCAGCCGTTTGACGTTTAATTTCTTTCGACAAAGAAGTAGATTTTTTGTCAATGTTTCTACTGGGGAGAGAAAACATGATAATGAAGACATCTGTTATTCCCATCGTCATATAATGATGATAATTTTGGTTTTATTTTCTCTATGAACGGACATAGTTTAATTCTTATCAATTTCACTTTGATAATAAAAACAGTAGTATTATGTTTTGCATTTAAATTACTATGAAGTATTTCGACTTGTCCACGTAACGGTTCAATTATCTGGATGACGTTGAATTATAAAATTGAGCAAAACGGATATGATTATCTTTTAGAGGCAATGTTGGTAGCATATAGATTGTAGTTTTTATCGATGTCGCTTCATCTGTCGTAGAGAAAAAAATTATTAAAGTGATAACATTTAGAAATGGTCGAAATTAATATTCGTCGTACGTTTTCATTTTTCCATTTTTCATATAAATAAATCTGGTGAAAAATTTGGAGATAAACTTTTCTTACGAAGAACTGTTTTTTTTTCTGTTATAGCTATGATTTAATTCACTTGCAAGTACAGATATATACAAGATTTGATAGATTATAGTTTTTGAACAGGCTGAAAATTATGATGCATGCTATGATAATTACCAATAAATAAAAAAATTGACTTCTATACTCTTCCGATTCCTTGTTATTAGATAATCTGTGTGATGCGTTCATGACACTAATTCATCTGTCATTAGCACTTCATGAATCTTAATATGATATATGCCTTAAACAGCACTTATTACAATATTTTAGTTCCAGAAACTATCGAGATTTGAAAGAGTTGAGAAAAAACTTATGTACGACTTTGCTAATTGACGTCATCTTAGAAGCTTATTTACAGCTCAGAAATGTCAAAATTTATATGTCAATTATCTTGAAAAAAGTAATTGTAAAGGAAGCTTTCTGCTACCAAATTAAGGCTTCTCATTTTTAAGAAATAGGTAGTTCAGATCTTATGAATTTCTCACGTAATTTTAAACTACCATTGTTCATCTGCTTGAGGTGTCTGATTTTTCAGTTAAAGATTTGTTCATCTTTCTATTACTTTAATAAAACTTCACATCGTTTCATTTCTAGACTGTGTATAATTCCTCAAAAAGAAAGAAGCCCAACAGAATGTTATTAAAGCATGCCTCTTTCTTATTCGTCAATTTCTGAACAGCTGTCTCTCATTAATCTACATTAGTATATGTTTTTCAGCTCACGATTGAAAGTCGTTTGTTCGTCAATAGAAAACATGTAGAACAAACGAAATTAAATAAATCAAACAAGTTACAACTAAACAGCAAAATACGATGAACTGATTCATTCGATGACTTATATTGCTATTTTATGCTCGTTCGGATAGAGTGGGCTTCTATTCTGTGATAGGCTTTAATAAATAACAATTTATTGAACGTAATTACTACATCATGTCATAACTAAGTTTATTCCAATTTTTGCTTTTGCAATATGATTAAATAAATACATAGTGATTATTTAGTATATACAGCGACGAAGAGCGCTCATGCAATAGAGAAATGAATAAGGAAAAAGAAAAAAAAATGCTTTTAACTACTTGAAAACGAAATAAAATGACTCTTGTTGAGAATCCGAACATGCGCAAACATACCCATAATAACTTTGAAAAGCAGATCAACCAAACAAATATTAAAAAATGCACGCCGAGACAATCTGACGAGTAGATGAATGATTTGAAAGAAAAAATTAAACTGATTTAACGCATGTTTTTGCTGTATTTTTCTTTTTTTTCTTCTTTTTGAAGAAAAGTTTGATTACTCTTGAATTTTATTATGTCTACTAATATTTAGAATGAAAGTTTATCTTTCTTCTATTGAAATTTTATCGATTTTTTTTCAAACAGACAAATACCTTACTCTAAGACAAGTCAAAAATCAACAATGACTACAATGAAAAATCCGTTAGCTCGTAAGAATATTTAAATTTTTTCTTGATAAAAAATAGTTCAATAAAAAAAAAAAAACTATATATATATATATGACAGGTGCTAGTCCATTGCCAAGTCTTCATCCTGCACGTGCTAGTACACCATTAAAGTCATCTTTTTCAACAATACAACCTATTTTACCCAATACTCCTTCAACAACAGTTTCACAAAAACGTCAAACAAAAAAACGTGTTCGTTTCGCATTAAAATTAGATACAGTAGAAGAACGTCTATCATTATCAAAGAATGCGAAGCCTGTTGTATCAACAACAAAATCAAACAAACGAATTACTGATCCATGGCGACAAGATGGACCATTATATGGTGCTTATGTTGAATATTTAGAAAAACAAGGGGCTTTAGCATCGGATATAACAGAAATTCATCGACCATCACGACCAGTACCACCATCATTGCCATCACATGAGTCTGAACTTGAATCATCAGCACATACAAAGACATCTTTTACTCGAAACAAATCATCTGAATTTGTTGTTGAATCAATAACGGTTACAGCATCACCAACTAATTTACCACGTATTGTTCATCCAACAACAGTCACAAGAAAGAATAATTATAATAACAGACGACCATCGTTGCCTATCATTGATCCTGATTTTAAACAACGAATTGATCCAACAATTTCACCTCATACAATTCAATCAAGAAAAACACCCGGTTCAGTTAGTTATAAAAATCATTCGAATTCAATAAACTCAGCTGCAAAACAAACTGATTTTGCTTTACCATTAATTAAAGATATAAAATCCAAGGAAAAATTAATTCGAACAGATAATTCTGTTGGTAGAAAAATTGTTAATGAAAATAGTCAATCAAAAAAAATGACTGAAGTAATTTCTGGTGCTTTACCTGATACCAATAATCAAATCAATCATATGTCTGAACGTTCTGTTTTACCTAATCTTTCAAAAAAATCTCAAAGTGCTTATCATAATCCTATAAATAATGAACCTTATTTTTTTCAAAACCATAATAATGATCAAATTCAACCGGTTATTCATTGAACTCGTTTATTGCAGATGAAAAAAAGATTTTTATGTATACAAACAAAAACAAAAAAAGGATTTCGCATATTTTTTTAAATCAATTTATGATTAATCTCGGTAATAACTTTCAAAATTCAAATATTAAAATTTTTCTTAATAAACTAACTTTCATATTTATGCGAGAGATTATTTTATTGACTAACATAATTTTTTTGATTATATGACTTTTATTTTTATTTATATGAAAAAAGATACTGCTGTTGATTGTTAGAAAACTTTGTTTAATATATTTAATCTTAATGATTCAAGGAAATAAATTGAAATTTTTATAGAAATATTTTGCAAAAAACTTTTCATCGAATTTATAAGACAAAAACAAACCGAATGAAAGAATTATCTCGATTGTGAAGTGGTGAACATGAACGTATGAGTTAGTGCTAGTTTCTTTTTTTAATTATTTGATTTTAATGACTGATTAAATTCACTAATGGTTATCTATGAAGACAATCAATATGTAAAAACAAAAGGTGTTTTGTAGAAAGGCCGACAAGAAAAATACCGAAACCATTCATGCTGCACTACCTCGAGTATGCTCCGATAGTGATGATCAAAAGACAGTCGGTCGGCCAAGTATCAAACTACCATTAAATACCGCCAGTAAAGTTTAAAGATATGTAGGGCAAGCTTTTTCCGTAGCCTGTGCTCTGACTGAGAAAAATTCTCTAACCCTTATCCTATCCTATCCTCAGTGTATGCGCAAGAATTAAAGAGGGAGATATGTAAGCTCAATAACTCGACAACGGCAATAGTTAGCGACAAGCGGTTTTCAAAGACTCAAAGAGAAGAACTCCAAACGTCTTTTTGTATGATATTGTGTAAGAGAAAATTATTTTAAAACCAATTTTCTTTTCAAAACGTTTTTAAAAATATACCCGTTGTCGAGTTATTGAGATTACACTCACCTTTCTTAAATTGTGGCGCGAACATTAGTATAGGACAAACTATACTGAACGGTCTACCGATAGTTTTTGTCCAGTTTGAATCACATGAACCGAAAGTATCGAAAACAATTGATGTGTCTAGTTAAACGGTGACTTTAGACGTCTATTGTGTATTATCGCTTTTCTCATCATTCTATCGATTTGTATCTGTAATTTGTAGTAACAGTGATGAATAATATCAGTCTTCAGTTTACCCACACCTTTATTTCGTTCTATTGTTTTTCATGTTCGAGTATTGTATTCACTTATAATACTTATCGATGCATGATAGCTATATTAATCACTGTCAGAATTTAACAGACAAGCTTGAAGGACTTTAGTAACTAAAGTTTTTAGCTAAAATGTTAATTTCTTCTGTATGAGATTCACGAGAAAAAAACTGTGTAATATCTTTAAATTTCAGCATAAAATCAATAAACTATAATGCATTTGAGAATATGTATTTTGCTCTATCTAACAAGCTATAAATCACAAAATCGATAAAATTTTACCAAAATTGAGTTTTTCTGGAAAGACTCTTATGATGTTACTATATTTTATTAGATTGGCCCTAGAAGAGCCGAAAAATATATCACACTTCAATTTTTTTCTTTATCTACAAAATAACTGTGATCATTAATCATTTTAATCAGTTTATCATCCAAATTTATATGCATATTTGCTGAAATTCCATTAAATATATTTTTCCCATATTTTCTATCACCTGTATATGCGTTTATTTGATTTGTATTAATCAGTAATTTATGACAAATTACTCAATGATTCTTTTTATATCAATTTATGGAAAAAAAAAGATCTTGAATTACAGTGTTGTACTAATTTTACGCTTGTCTTACAAAAGGGCTTTTTATTTTGACGTTTCTGCACATTCAAGATCTTTCTGCCATTTTAAACGTTAGAAATCTGGGTTTTGCATCAAAATGAAGTCGAAAGTCAGTTTTAAAACTTAACAGTCTCGGCTTTTTCTTTAGTGTTTATTAAAAACTAATCGTTTTTGACTTACACGCCCTTATTTTTCCTTATTTTATCCGAGAAACTTTCAAGAAAAACAAACAAGAACAAATTTGACTCTGTTTAGTTGTAGCCCCATATCTTGGCTACAGTGTAAAACCAGCTAACATTTGAAATGAAGGAGAAATTTGAGACGTATGGACACTAATATTGTGACATATAATTTTAAGTTAATTCTTCAAAGGCTCTATAGATCGATCTGAAATTTTTACTGTGAGCTTCGTAACTCAAGTTACAGCTCTTTTGAACTTTTCATCAAGATTGAATGATCAAAAACAAAGCATTGTTTTTTTTTTGGAGAGACCTCCTTGATGCGTATCGAGTGGTCTATCGTTGCAAAATAATACTGAACACATCAACGACATGTATTTTTGCGCACAATTAATGATTTTTGTTCACATAATATTGAAATAATAATGTAATTCATATATAATGTGAGCAAATTCATGATTTTGATTTTCTTTCTCGCTACAATATCTACTGAAAGTTGCTTATGGTTAGAACATTTTGAAATATTCTTATCTGAAATAAACATGTAAAAGGACATTAGTAAATAGTCAATATTACAAAACTAACGACCAATAAAAATGGAACAATCATGAGAACAAATACTTGCTGTCTACTAATGAAACTTTAAAAGGAAATTCAGTAATAAGCAGTCTGTCTGTAATATAACAATAAGACCAAAATAATAATAATAGTCTAATCGAATTATGTGATTATCATATTACACACTTTACTTTATTTTTTTTTGCGACAAACAGCAATACTATTAAGTAGAATAGTAGATATTCAAATAAAACATTGATATCACCATTTTATTTGACATCTTTTCGTGTAAATATTGTTCAAATAAATAAATACATGATTTTTACAACATTAAATTCATTGTATTCGTTTGCTACCTGAACGAAAAAAAGTGTAATGAATGACACATTCTTTTGATTTCGTTGACATATGGATTAAGATAGTATAGAAAGCGAGTACTGCTCTTCAATGAAAAAAAAAAACTATAGGATGAATTTCGACCTATTCAAATCATATGATGTTTCGTCCTATTTATCTTGAGTATTATTTCTGATTAGATAAAAATCAGGTTCTGATATTATTCGTTAAAAAAATAAGAATTCTTTTTTCTTTCTTTTTAATTTGAAATATTGTTTCTAATAAAGAAGCAGCCGCTAACCGTCTTTTTTTGTTGTTCATAATCTCACTAAATTTAATAAATGTTTTTCTTTTTATCTAAAACATTCATTCATTTAAGTGTTCTGTCTTTTATTTAAGTCCATCATTTGCAATGAACTATAATAATCAAACACTTAAACTTTAGAAAAAAGTCTCGCCTGATCGTTTTTTATTTCCTTGATTGAATAATTTTTTCACATGTACATTGGAAGAGCACTTACGTTTTTTTTTTTTTTTTAGTTGGTGTTCTGCTTTTAGTATAGAAAATATTCTCTTTCTTTTGTTCTTACTTAACAAATATAACAATAATCTGTTAAAGTTAAATTCACGTTTTTTTTTTCAAATATTTGCTTCATTTCATGGCTCTCTGATAAAATGTCGAGAAATTGATTCATATTTTCTTTGTTTGTCCGATATATTGTGTACGACTATATTAACAAGGGCAATGCTTTGTTCACTTTTTTTTTCTTCTTTCGTTCTTCTTGTTTTTTTTTTCTAGATTTAATTAAAAAAGAACGTTTGGTTGACGACAGCAAGCAGTACTGGTTGATGACAGAATAAGAGAGAAAAATGCTCAAGACGAGTAAAATAGGATAGTTAGGAGAATTTTTAGAGCAAATATTAAGAAAAAAAATCGAGAAGCACTTGTTCCTTTTGAATTTTTTCATTTCCGTTGACAGACATATTTCATAGTATTGAAAGCAAATGTCATTGTGCTTATTATTGATTCAGCGAAGTTTGAAAATATTACTGAGTATTTATTTGATTTTCGACACATAATAAAACAGTAATTTTCTGCTCTTTTCTTCTTACATACTAAAGAATAACACTCGATTGACGCTTTATACATACAATTTTCAATGAAATAATGCGTGTTATAATTGAGTTCTTTTTCTTTATGTTATTTTTTCTCTTAACTGATTTTTTTCCATGAGAAACAGTGAAAACTAACATTCCTATTAAAGAAATCATGCTCATTTCACTCGTTGAATTTCTTGTCTATTTTGAGGTCTATATATTTCTTTGGGTTTTTTTTTGTAGAGAATGTTTGCTCTTTTTGTTGTAAAGTCCTACTAGACAAGTAACTTTTTTCTTTCAACTGAAGGCCATGTATCGAATTGAGATAATACTATATCAGCCAATGCACATTAAAATATGTCACGTCCAAAATCAAGGACATGACAATGTGCTACAGCTGCCGTTTGTTCGATTAGATCCATTTTAGTCGTTTACACTCTATAATATTTTACTTCTTTTTCTTAATATTAAAACAAGCATATTTATGACAGATTTAGCTTTACATAAGTTTTATAATTGAATTATCGTTGAAGTAATTTTTCAGAATTCTTTTGCTTAATAACGTTTTTCTTTCGTATCATATTTTATTTTTTTCTTCAGCTTTCTTCTTTTATACGTCTGTTTCTTTCTTCTGCTTCTTCCTTTTTTTGATGATGACTGTAAATATGTGGTGCCCATTATCACGGTAATATGACGAGTCACAGCAATGTATGCGTTGTTCAACATTTTTTTTTCTTCCTTCTTCTTTGAAGATGCCGGAGCTTTGGAGAAACATCCTCATGAGTTATTACATAAATAGAAGAGCAATGCTACTATAAGTATACATTATAATCTTTTTTATGCCGCATGTTTTTGCTGATTCTGTTATAGATAGAATTGCCTCTTTTACTCTTGTTCTGTGCCAACTTTTAAAATTGATGGCGAAGAGTAACAATAAAAGAGAGAAAAGTAAAATTGAGGAAGAGAAATACGTTGTGTATATGGACGTATATTTTTGTAGTAGACCTTCGTGAGACTGATGATTATTAATGACTACTATCGGCATAAATTCATAACGACAGTTTTACAGAAAAATACAAAAAAAAAAACGAGTCAACGGTTGTTGCCATCGATGAAAAGAATAGGAAAGAAAAAAGAAAAAAAAACTAAGCTCTTCGTCTTGCATTATTAGTCACATTTTCAACTATAAAGGGTTTTATATATGAAACATCAACAGATTCTTCTCCTTTTCTTTTTCTCTCGTGTTATTTTGTTGATATTATTCAGTTGAAATGCTACTGCAACAAAAATAATCTCAATAATCACACACACATACACATATAACTGTTACCTTTATTAAGATTCATAATGCTATTTTTCTTTCGTCTCTGTTATAGATCGATATAATTATTATCATAAATCTCAGACAACAACAATATTCATCATATTTATTTCAATGCCACAGTTTCATAAACTTACACTATTTGCCGGAGCTGGTATTGGTGCTTTTGCTGTGTTACTTCTTATTATTAGTATAGCAACACCGGCATGGGTTGATGATGGAAAAGGCAATACTGTTGGCCTTTTTCGAAAATGTGTTGCGGCAAATGCGTCAGCTGATCTTGGCGAAGGTTGTCATGGAGAAAATCGTGTTACTCAAGGCGGTTTGTCTGTTTTTGGTCTTTTACTTCTTATATTCGGTATTTTTGCGACAATCGCTGCCGCATTCACAGGAAATACATTAATTTTATTGGTTTCTTTGGGCTTGATGTATTTTTCGTCTATGTTCGTTATGTCAGCTTATGCGACATGGGGAGTTTATTCACGTGATCCTTACTTATATTTGTTTCCCAATGGGGGATCATCATCCCTGCAGTATACATCAATGGGTTATTCGTATAACTTATGTGTTGCTGCACATTTCTTTCTCTGGACAGCACTTACATTAGTTGCGTTTGGTGTTGGACATTTTTGGGGTTCGGAACGAAATGCTTCAGGTTAAATGAATTTCTATAGGGTTTTGTTTGTTGCCAAATGCAGACGTATAAAAATACATAACAAAATTAAAAAAAAGTACTTATTCTTTAGTTCATTTATTCGACTATTCTCTATTTCTTTAATTATTTAATTGAAATAACTAAATGTCTGCTCGTCTTGTATGATTCTCATTGATTCTTTCCTTTTTTTTTTCTTTTTTGTCGTATATATGTATTGTGTCACTAACTAATACAACCGTTTTTTTTTTTTACATATTTCTCTAAGCAAGTGACACTTTGTGATATATGTTAATGAGAATTAAATTAATGTGTTTTAGTTCAAACGTTATATCGTTCGTCTTCATTTTCTTTTTTTTCTAATACATGTTACGCTTTTTCTTCTTTATTATCAATTCATATGAATGAATGAACAACTTTGTTGCCTCGTGATTATGCAAAACAAGAAAAATATATACATTTAAAAGAAAATATTTATTTTATTTATATATATATATATAATTCCTTGATAATTATTTTTATGCAAGACATTTATTTTTTCCATAAAAATTACGCAGAAATATCAAAGGTTGAGTATTTGTTGAATTAGATAAAAATAAATTGGTTTTTGTGCACTAAATGCATATATGAGTAATATGTCATAAAAAAAAACTTTTTCGCTTTCATGTCATATGATAGAGGTAGATTTCAATGATACATTTCTTTCTTTGGTGAAGAAAGAATTGTTACTTAATAAAATTTCAAAAGTGTAGTTTACTTTAAACTAACGAATGAAATAAAAGTTCTGGATTAATTTTGTTTGTCATATAAAAGACTTTGATTGAAAATGTTTGCTAAAGGTCATGAAAGTCTTAGAATAATAATAGGTATGAGGAAATGTTTTGTAACTTTTTTTAAATTTAGAAAAATTTTACACAATACAAAATCTTTTCTTTTTATTCTTCTTTTTCAAGTTTTATAACGTAAGAATTGAGAACTATTACTGTACCAAAAAAGAAATGTTCGGTATGTTTTATAACGTTTGATATGACAGCTATTATAACATCATCTGATATCACGGATTCTTCATAAATATCAATCACAGACAACAAAACTAAAGTTAGGAACTATATATTTTATATGAACAAGAAAATTTATCAAGTCCTCTATTGGACAATATTATTTGAAATAGGGCATAGACTACTCTATGATATCTTCAGACAAAATATTGTGTTCGCGTTACAAACGTCAAAATAAATTTTTTAATTAAACTATTTGTTATCCAGTGTGCTAGATCCACTATTTTAAGATCATACGAAAGGCATCATTGCAACTAACAGTTATATATATAAACATTGAAAGCCGATAAAGAAAAAGATCAAAACAAATATATTTGAATAGAAAAATTGTTATCGACGTTGCGATAGAATTTTTCAACACCTTTTGTTCTAAGACTTTTATAACGTTCAGATTTTTTGATATATTTAGATAGTTTGCTTTTTCTAACAAACAAAAATAATCAAGCTTCCATAATATTGCATTATAAAGCTACATCAAGAAAAAAATTAATGCCAAACTTTTTGTTTCACCTGTTATTTATAATTTCAGTCTTTTAAATCATATTTATATGATGAAAAGTGATTGTGGTAGAAAACTAAAATAGAATAGACTTTATTTAGTCAAAATAGATCATTTATAAATCATTGAAATAGAAATTTATCACTCAAATAAAAGAACAGTTGAAACTATCGAGATTTTTTCATATAAATAATGTCAGAACACAAAAGATGATTTATATGTACCATTTCAGGCAAAATAGAACATACTCACCTTTCATTTGACTTTTATTCTTTATAAGAGTTATTTTTCTGAATAAGTTCTTTTAACCGAAGCATGAATAAATGGTGATTCTTTCAGCCGACTATTAATAAAAAAGTAATTAGCAGGTTTCTTTCTTACTATAGGAAAAAAAAATATGAAAACTTCCAGGATATACTCCACGGCATGAACTGCATCTATAATGAAATTTTCAGCAAGATTGAACTTCAAAAACACTTTCTCTGAAAAAGAATTTTTTTTTCAGAGTTTTTATGAAGTCTCGAAACAAAGAATTTTTGTCTTAAAATCACTAGAAATTCTGACGAAGGNCCTCGGGACATCAAAGTATGATGAAAACTTGTTTTCTTATATACCATTCGATGCGCCTCAACGAGCTCTACAAAACCATATATATGGTAATCTGGTCCGAGATGGGTCATGAAATTCGGCGGGGTCCTTTAATACATGTATTGGCATAATTTCTGAAATCTAAAGATTCTTTCTGTTAAAATCATGAAGATAGTCCTAATCTTAGCGTCATCAAATCTTCGTTACTGTTTAGGTTCGAAAGCTTTTCAGTGTTGCATACTTATAGTATTCGGAATAATAATGTGCTTAATAGTGTCCGACTCCGGTCGGGTCACAAAAAATTGACCCATGTCGGATACTGGTGCTTAATTCTGTGAATCTGTTGAAGCCAGTGAAGTCCTCATTTCATGAAACTTTTGTGGGTGTCAACGTTTGTTTCTTCGAACTACTCAAGGTTTTCAAGTCTTGAAGTCTAAAGAATGTAGGTTGTTATTGTGAGTTGAAGTCTTGGACTTTATGATTCGGTTACGATTCTAGATTCGTTTCTGTTGTGATATGTGTGTATGCGAATATTTCGTCTTAGTAGATTGAAGAATTACATATCGTAGTGTGAAGAAGTTAACGTCAAGTATTAATGAAAATTATCTAAGACATTTTATTTCATCTTTTAATTTAAAATAGGATAATCTCTCACCAAAATGTAGTATAAAAGAACTATGAATAAAAAAAACGGGTTTTTCTCAACATTGGTAAAAGAGCATGGCTCTTCAATTACATGAAAAGGGTATGTCGAGTTAGAAATTTCGCGAAAAAATATTGAAAAGAATAAGTTTTTCGTAAACATGCAAAAATGAATGAAGATTTGAAGATTATACGAAATATTCATATTTATTGTCGTTTAAAAATTCCAAAACTAGTTTCTTTTTCTAATTCTTCATGTAAAAGTGTGTAAAAAATCCCCAACTAGTCGATTTTGTGGTCTGAAATGAGCTGTGTGCTCTCAAAACACTAGTAGAATCATGAAAAAGTGATTTTTAGTGGGTTACAGTCAACATACCAATAGCAAAAAAAGCAGAGCATCCGATAAACAAAATTAGAATCTATTTATTTCAAAAACCAATTTTTTCGATATTAAAAGTAAAATAATAAAAAAGAAGCACGTACTTGAAAATTTTAACTATCAAGACTAAGTTTTCAAATAAAATGTATGCGATATTCGAAATCACTATAACGAATCGAACCGAATGATACAGATATCATTAAAATATATTTGTCATCGAAACCTGACCTGACAGGACATCTAGACCAAATCATCTCATCAAGCCAGAGAAAAAGCAGGGATTGAATTTCGATGACAAATATATTTTAATGATATCTATGTCATTCGATCCGATTTATTATAATGATTTCAAATATCGTAAACATTTTATTTGAAAAACTTAATCTTGATAGTTAAAATTTCCAAATACGTGCTTTTTTTTATTATTTTACTCCTAAGATGGAAAAAGTTGATTCTTGAAATAACAGATTCTAATATTTTTCGTCGGATGCTCTACTTTTTTTCCATTGGTATGTTGACTGTAACCCACTAAAAATCGCTTTTTCATGATTCTACTAGCATTTTTAGAGGATACCTCTCATTTTAGATCACAAAACTGGCTAGTTGAGATTTTTTCCACGCTTTTACCCGAAGAATTATAAAAAGCTAGTTTTGGAATTTTAAGACGATAACAAATGTGAATATTTCGTATATTATTCAAATCTTCATTCATTTTTGCATGTTTACGAAAAACTTATTCTTTTCAATGTTTTTCAGCGAAAACCATTTTTTAACCCTCTACGAATGCAGTTTTCCTATGTAACTCAACAGACTTTATCCATCCATAACAAAAACAATTTTCTACTTAAATTTTGAATGTCCCGCACTTTAATCATGTTTGGGCATTGAGTGACGAACGAATAAATGAAGAAGTAGAAACACAGCATTCTTTGAGCAACCAACTGATTTAGTGCAGCTCTTCGATTCTTACACTAAAATTTTTCATAATTCATTCAAAGTCATGGGCGATAAGATATTTAATAACCAGCCAAGGTTGTTTGGTGAGAAAACACTTTTTTAGTTTTCAGAATTCTTATGTTTTTACAAAACAATTTCACATAAATTAAGCAAGGTTTATATCCTGCTGAAAAGCAACTCCTAAACCTGAAAATTATACGATCGCAATGTGGAAAAAAGTAACACATTCGAATACTATTTGAGTTTTCTACAACAATTAACAGAATTCCGAGCCTTTTTTCGAAAATTTGAAGTTTTTCCAAGTATTCAGAAACCCTTAAGATATTCTGAGCAATCTTCATAAACCATATTCGATCTGTGAGAAACGCTTCCACCGTTTTTGATACTGAAAAATCCAAAAAAGTTTTCGATGAAAAAAGGCACTAACCGAAAAGTGTTCCTGGTCACGTATAGAATTTCCGTGAAAGTTTTCTAGTCAGAGGCAGTTTTCGAAAGAGTTTGGGTTTTCAAGAAAACGATTTTTTTAGAGTGTAGTATGTCTGGAAAATATTTGAAAAATAATTGTTGGGCCAATCAAATGTTTTGTCTTTACTATTCATACGAAGTAAAGATGCTCATGCTATACGATGAGACGCTATGTTGCAGGGTGTGGGTGTGGATGTGGATGGATGTGCGTGTACAAGTGACTGGAATAGAAAACAAAAGCCACGCCCACCCACATTCCACATCCACACCCACACACCCTACCTTAGATGTCGATTATAAACTTCTGACAAAAAAGGACAAACTAAGCATCAATTACAAGTTTCACATTTGCCGTACTTGGTGCAAAGTAGACTTCATTCTTTATTTTTCCTCTTCTGAAAAATATAAATTTCAAAACGAGAGATTATTGAACTAGATTTTATGGTAACAGGCTTTAACAGTTGTGCATATGGCTTTTCGAGATTTTTTCAGAGTCATATGTCGATTATAAAGTCGGAAAAATTAAATTAAAAAAACTTATATGAATAGCGAATACTATATCCGATTGGCCATGAAAGCAATGTAGATCCAAAAACGTTGAATATTGATCTTGTTCGAACATTTTATTGATCCGTTAAATAATAAATGTTTTGTCACAAAGTTACGAACTTATACGCTTTCCTCATTTTAGTCGATATTTGTATTGTGTCGTCTATTAAATCAAATATAAAAAAACGAACATATCATCATCACCAACAAAAAAAAACTAGAGACTAAAAAAATTAAGAAAAATAAAATAATCGTACATATTTCTCTCGTTTATCGCTGAATGCATTGAACAAGACAGTTTCACAAGGTATATACAAAAGAAAGAAACGTAGATAAACGTCATTAGCACAAAACGAGACGACAAAACGATCAGAATACGATTCATTTTTCTCTGAAACAAACTCAATTAATAATATAAATATGAAGAGGGTATGAGAGTTCTGCACACAGAGCAGGAAAATGTCGAATCACTCGATGCATAATTCAAATTTGAAGATCTACAATACGGACAGTTAACTATACGGCGAGCTTTTGGCTTCGGTACTGGTGATGAAACAGAAACATAACGATTATTATCTCCTGTTAAATGTGTATTCGTTGATCGCGATCGAATATATGGTTGATGAACAAGATCATCATAATGCGAAGTAGAAAGTTGCAATTTAGAATCGCAGTTAGGACAAAGACGCGTAGATTTGAAGTTGTTAAAAGAACGACTACAAAGAATACATATGTGAAGTGGATCTCGCCTTTCTTCATAAATGAATAAAGTTGGATCGTTTGATGATACACGAGATGTTGCATGTTGAACAGGAATATCAATAACACTTTGTTGTTGTTGTTGTTGTTCTAAAATAATAAATGAATAGTGACAGAAAGTTAGTTTTCATATAAGTACTAAAATAAGAACCCTTAATTTTACATAGTTTTATGAGGCAAGAAGTCAAAAAACAATGAAACAGACAACAAATATGTAATAAATACTTCTTTTTTGTTTCTTGCAAACTTGCAATATACAACTGATGGCTTATTAATAAGGAAGATATTAACGTGCATGTGTGTATAAGGGTGTTTTTGTAATAAGCCAAAATATTGACTAGGAATAGGAATAACTTGAATAAAGTATATAGATCGAATGAGGGGAAGGAGCATGTAATAATGATAGTATATACAAGAAAAAAAAACAATAAATTGCTCTTAAGCTCCTGTAATAATTAACGACACTTCTAGGTCGTAAGTATGTCAAAATTACTCAAAGATACTGCCTCCAAATAAATTTAATAAACAAGCTTTGCAATAGCGATCGAAAAGACAAATTAGTTGCGGCTATACGAAGCAAACTATCTTGAATAAAAATTACCTCGGTTAAATTTGTATCTGTCCTCTCCTAGCTTAACACTAACAGTGTTGAGCTGTTTATCATAATTGCTCAAATTGCTAATATTATTCAAATTATTTTTTGGATATGATTGTTTGAATTGTTCAATATCAGTATAATTGGTATCTCGATCTGTTTGTGCTACTTTTGCATGCTCGAATGTTCTTGGTGATTGCTGAGGTTGATTTGAAAAATTGTTAATATGAACAACGCTATTTGATGGTATATATGGATCATTAGTGTAAGTGCCATCGTATGAGTATTGTTGATCATGATTATTATTATTTTGATTGCGCGATTGACTATCATTCAGAGTAGTATTCGATCGTGCCGACATCGGTGTAAATGATGAAGATGAAGGTATTTCTTGTTTAATTATTGATCGACCTTTAGTATCATAAAAGACATGACGATTAACATAATTATCTAGGTCACGCTGTCTCTCACGTTCTCGTTCTTCTGCTATTGCTTTTGGCTTTTGTACTTCAAAGAAATCGTTCACATATTCCTGATATACACAGAAAAAATTGTTGTTCAATCGCAAATGTTTAGTACCCAATTCCGCATATAAAATAGACAATGGTGAAGAAATGTCATCAAAGCGATACTCTAATTTTTGGACTCGTAAATAATCACGAAGTAAATTATTCGAATGTTCAATGTTTTCATCATCACCTAAGAATCGAATAGGTAATGAAACATTTTCATATGCATGGTCAATTGATAGATAAAGTGGAAGACGATTATCCAATGCTCCTTCTACACTACGATCACTGGTTTGTAGCGCACAAAAATGAGATCGATCGTAAGCTAATACAATAGGTTCAGTAATACATTCATTTGGTGTTGAAAGAATAGGTAAATAAATTCCAAAGAGATCATTAACCGAAATAGCTTCACCATTTTTATTTCGAATGACATCTTCAGATAAAACAATAATTGGTCGACGAAGCATATTTGAAATAGAAAATATATGTACAGCTTCAAGAAACTCTAAATGACTTGCTATTTGTCCATCTTCAGAATTTTCATAACGAACAAGATCACACAATTCATTCCATTCCTAAAGAAAAATGTTTAACATGAATTTATATTTTCAATCTTACTTCATCGAGCTTCGAATCTTCTGATCTTATACCATAATTTTTATCTGATTTAAGTCGTTCTTTTCTCCAATGATTTTTCAATATTTCTTTATTTTCATCCATAAATTGTACAAGTCGATCACGTAAATAAAGATCAAAATCATGTATGCCAACCATAGCAATAAGTACAGCATGTAGAAGACAATTACCATTACCTATAAAAACAGAAACAGATACATACAAATAAACTTGAAAATTTTCTTGTACCTGATGTTCGTATTGGATAGAGCCTTTTGAATGAAGAAATCCAATTGATAACATTAGCATCATTCATCGTTCTGAACATTATACGATCAATTAAATATCGTTGAATATCAAAATTATTTTTTTCAAGGAATTTATATGGTATAACACTTGTATATTTTGCAACTTCAGTAAGTTGTTCAATAAGAGCGTGATTGATATACTCCAACAATTCCGTAGCTGCGTCTTTAAATTTTTGTGGAATAGGTAAAACATCTTTAGGTTGTGTTGGTGTTAGTGATTTTGATTTCGGACCACAACAATAATTTTGAAATGTTGTATAATAATGAGGACGAAGTGTATCAGCTGGTTTCGTAGAACGATTGTTACTATCGGTAGAATTCACAACGCTTGTAGTACTATTTGTTTGAGCCATTGTAATACAAGTCAAATATATGGTAAGCCAAACTATTAGATGATAGCACAAAATAAATCTGAAATAGAACTAATGATTCATCACTTCGATATGTTGAAGAAAAATGTAGTAGGCGTAAATAAAAAGAAGAATAAAAAATGCAACGATTGCATAGAAAGTGAAACAACTGGCAGATAGAACAAATACAAGATATTTAAATAGACAATGCTTTTCTTTCTTCCAAGTTTTTCAATATGGAAATGATTTAATCATTGTGATACAAATAAAGGTTAAATCTATAAGGTCAATCTGTCAAGCCGATGAAAGGATTTTTTTTACCAGCAATAATAGATGAGTCTCTGTTTTGAAAGGAAATAGGTATTGTGAGTGAGCTTACTAGAGTTAAGAAAGAAAATATTATTGTATAGAATCGTGTCGTTGATCATTAGTCTGAAAAGCTTATAGGAAGAACATAATGACCATTTGATACCAAAATACTTCGACTGCTTTTCTACATCGACCAAAAAAAAAATACTTGTTGGTAATCTTTTCGTTCTTTTCCTTTATTTTTCTTTTGCAATGAAGAAAAACAACAAAAAACATCAGCACTGATTTTTTTTTCTTCCTTTCCTTTCCTCTTTTCGAAGACGATGAAAAAGATCCTATTGCATGTAAAACACATGTGCTATTAATATATAATTTTTCTGCGCTATTAATAAGATGTTGTCGATCTTAATTGTCATCACTCTTCGATACTCAGTTCATATTTGAAAAAGAGTCCCATATAACATTATTATCAAACATTAGGCACCTACTGACATCTCAAAAAAAAAATGTCATTGAAAAAAAAAACAATAAATATATGATTATGCATCTTGCTCGTAGAGTAACTCAATCCTATAGAATGGTTCTTCATAGTAGTTAAAGACTATTTTAATTATTTCTTTCGACTGTATAATTTTGTAACAGAAGATAAAATTCATCTTGATGAAAACAACAATAAAACTCTAATATATATAATATTAAAAGATTAGCTTATTGACTGTATTTATATCATATATATATAAATATGAATTAATAATTATTCTTGTCATACTATCAATAACACATACCGAAGTTTTTTTTTTTTTCATTATAGAAAGCATTTCGATAGACAATAATTTACTATAAATGATATTAAAAAATATGATATTATTGCAATTTATATTATTTTACACACCTGTTTATACTCACACTTGTATCAGGTATGAACAACTTACTTGTAGATATTTCACATCTTATTCATACATTCTTTACCTCACACACGTGTTTTTATGTCTCTTTCTACCTACATGCCGATATTTGCATCAAACAAAAAATTATCCAAGCGAAACGAGACAAAAAAAGAATCACAAAAACATAAGCGCACATAAATTCGGTGATTTGCTTCGCATCTTCTCAAAAATTATTACAATAAATGGCAAGCAAACAAATATTATCATTATTTAGAAAAAATACAAATTTATGTGAAATATCTACCGAATATCCTTCATTAATACGATCTTTAACTCCTCGTCATCTATGTACATGTGTAAAACTGAAGATGTCTGAAACAATTCATATTGATAAATTATCAAACAAAAAACTAGCTCAAGATCATGATCAAAATGGAAAAGATTCGAAAGAACATTCAAAAACGATCCGAGAACCAACAGAATTAATTAAATTATTTCAATATAAACAAGAAGAAGAAGAAATAAATGATAAATTATATAAAAAATGTCGATGTCGATTAAGAAGAATAATGGGTAATGATGATGACGAAGAAAAAGACAATACAAATTAATAGTATATTTATTTATTTATTTTTTGTATTAAAAAAAAACTTATTTTTTAACAATATTATGTTTTATTTCTCGAATACCCAACGCTGCATTTGGTACTAATCCGCATTGTTCAAGTGTTTGATTTTCATCTGTAAAAAATAATTTTGTACCCATAGCAAATAAATCAAAATCAAATAATATTTTTCTACAAAAAAACAAAAAAAAACAATCTTAATTAATTTTGTTTTTGAACAATAAAGAAATAATCAATTACTTTTTCTTTGCAATAATTTGTTTTACATCTTTTATTGTACATGTTGTTTTCATTTTTATGACATATGTTTGTTGACCATCATGAGAACGAATACGAAGTGTACTGAATGGGATATTATTATCAGCATCAGTTTTGCATTCACTTATCACGCTTAAATAAACCACGTAACAGATTTAAAAATATAAACAAAATATAATACCTGTCACATCGTGGTGTTGGATCTTGTTTACCCTTTCAAAAATACGATACAATTATTTTAAACTAGATTTCAAAAACATTTGAATAATTTTAAACTAGTGATTTTTGTCGAAGAAAAAAATATTTATATAGATGAACGAATCTTCTTTTTATTTGAATTCTAGTAAATTTTTTGCTTATTATTTTGGAACATACAAGGTGTTTCATAAGTCTTGAAGCACAATAAAATTAATTTCTATGCAAACAGAAAATAAATCCTAGCCAAATATTTTTTTTATGAGCCTTGAGTATTTGTATCAATGTTTCATATGAGATACTATTGAATAATATCTTATTTTGTAATAATATAACTATAAACATGAAAATACAAAAATTAATTTTTTGAAATAGATCAACGTGACTTTTTAATAACATTACTAAACGATACTACAAAGAAAAATCGCGTAGTACAAATCAATAATTATTTATTTTATTCATTTACTCAATGCTCATCACGACCTTTTGATTAAATATGTAGTCAAACCGTATACTGAATAACCTGATATGAAAAAGAAAGAATATATGACAAGGTCGTCTGCAGAACGAAAAACAAAGAGTAAAGGTTGTATTTTGAACTATTGATGAATTATTTCATAATCAAGTTTCATTTTAAGAAGATGAAGTGAAATTATCCTGATACATGCCCTACTAAAAGTGTATGAGGAATATAATAACTTAAAATGACTGATAGAATTTTTAAAAGAGACTTGACTATTTAATGAAAAGTAATGAAGAACAGCTATGTGACAGTTAAATGAGATTTTTTTTTGTAATCAGATTCATGGAAGAGTATTTTTCGCTTTTTTTTTTCTAAATAAAATATCCGAGTAATCGATTTTATTCTCACATTCTCATTCTTATATTTTTATTATTACAATAGAAGATATTATCCGATAATATGCCGTTGGTCTAGATAGAAAATGTCTTTGTGTATCTGTCAGAGAAAAGTTATATTTTGTTTGTTTGAAGTATTTTTGTCAAATACAAATGTGAAGAAATGTTAAAATTATGTAGCAAGCAAGTTAGATCAGCTGTTTTTCCTACAGAATTGCTTGAGAATAGAAGCGCGAGACCAAAAACAAATTAAACTATTTCGTATTTGCCTTGATTTCATATTACAAGATCTACTAATCTAGAAACCAATAGAAATTTTAGCATATCGAATATCCGAATCATTTTTAAAATCTCTTTTCTTTTGGAATAAAGTAAATTCGACGAAAATCAATACGATTCATGTTTGAAAAATAAAATAAAATTGAAACTCAATATCCTTGTATAACGATATGAGTATGTATTGTATTCTGATTCCTACTTACAGCTAAATGTTGCTCAATATCCTGACGAATATCAATTACTTGACCATTCTTAATAACGGCCTTCGGGAGACGATTGAGAAATTGATTCATAGGAACTTTTGGTCCTAAAAAGTACTTTTATATTTGTTTAGATTATTTAATAACTATTTTAAATACGTTGATCATTTGATTCTGTTCTTGCACCCTGTGGAATTGGTGGTAAATGATCAGTATTTTGATTATTATGCACAACACGACTATCATGTAATACATAACCTTCACCTTGAAATGCTTTTTGTTTACGTTCATCAGTAAAATAAATATCACGTTTATCAGACACCTAGAAAAGTATAAAATATATGTTCTTTTTTTTTTTCTCTTCAACAAGAATAATGAAAATTTTAATACTTTAAAAGGTACACCATCAGGAAAACGTTTTTGTAATTCAGATGGAAAATATCCATCAAGTATATCACGAATAAATTGTTGAGTCGAAGGTTCTATGAATAAAGAGTCAGTATTTAAAAAAAAAAAAAAGAAATTATAGAAAAAAAAATAACAGTTCTACCAGAAAATGATCGAAAAGGTCCATTAAATAAGAAAATACCATTAGCATAGAGTGTTATATTGATTGATTCCGTACGTTTTAATGTTGAAATACGTCGTTGATTATCATTATTTTGTGGTTCAAAATGTACTTCATTTTCACCTGCTAATACATTAAGTTCATTAATATTTTCAACAATACTATTAAAATTGATTGGTAATATCTTTGGAATTGATTCTTCTATAAAGAAACAATTTTCATGAAAATTTAATGTGTAGTAGGAAACGAACCTGGTCGCCAAGTAGATGGTGCAGATAGTGCTGGTGGATGTTCTTGCTGTTGTTCAACACGATCAGCTTCATCAAAAGTTAAAATATTTACATTATCAGGTTCATTTAGTTCACCAACAACTTCAAGGCCACGTTCAATGAGTAGATCCTACTGAAATTAAGTAGATTTAAATTTGAAAAATAACAATTATGTCTAGATGACTGACCTCCATACGATCAATAATTGATTGTAAACGAATACATTTTTTTTCAAGAGTTTCTATTTTATATGATTCATCATGTTGATTATCTATAGTAAACAAATTTTGGTAATGTATAATTGAATGCATAAAAGATTGTTTAATCTTTATTTTTTCTTATTATACGACTCATACATATGTACTAACTTGACTTTCTTTGAGATTTTTCGTCAAACGAAGAGATATTAGACTATGACTGAAAAATGACGGCTGATTCCTTATAATACTATTACTCTCTTTTGATCGAGCTATAGCATGTTATATACACTATCAATCATTAAATTTTAATGAAATATAAAGCAAAGTCTAGTTTTAATACGCCGTTTTATTCAATACAAAAAGATTATTCATAAATTTCCTAATTGTTACATACGTAATGCTTTTTCATAAAGACGAACTTTCTCTTCGAGAACAGCAACACGTTGTGTCTAAAATCAAGAAAAAGACTAAATGGTTTATTTTTCGACATTGGCTGTTTTTACTTTGTCTTTTAGTTCGCTAGTCAAATAACAAACATCTGATTCAGCTTTTTGCATTCGATTCATAGTCAGTTGAAGAAGATCCAGATCGGTTGGAGCTGTAAGTTAAAAAACATTTGTATTTAAAAAAATTCCTTAATGATTTGATTTAACCTCGAATTCGTGAATCCTTTATGACTCTGCTTGTTTTGATATTATCCATCGCCATATGTGATGTAACTTCATTCAATAATTCGGCATCTTCATCTGTGTAAAAACAAAAATAAATCTAGTATATGTACTATATGTTCAACTTTGATGTATCTCTTACTGGAATATCGATAACCATTTAATCTTGCTGTTTGAGAATCTGGTATAGTACTATAAACATATTGTATAGTAAAGAATTGAGAAAATAAACAGACATATCATACTTGTCAGTAGCAGGAGCGTCAATCGACGATATGGTTGGATTTTTTGAAACAGGTAATTTTCTATATTTATTTAAAGTCGTAAATGGTGATGACATGACGTTATTTCTCTTATTGAAATTGTTCAATAACTTAGTACTTTCATTATCATACGTAAAAAAACCTATCTCCAAGTGGAACCCTTAATAAGAAAAATAACAATTAAAAAATAATATCGAAAGATGTCAGTTTTGTTCAATAATGAAATCATTTTTAAACATTGAGAACTTTGATTTTTTATTTATTTATTACTACTTGCTTGATATGAAGATTTGAAAGTCTGATTACGAAAAGCAAAAAAAGAACTGTATGTCTCTATTCTTTGTATTAAGTAAATCATTGTAGCGAAATCATATAATAAATTGGAAAAGAATAATTTGTCTAATTTCTTTGTTTTTTTTTTTTTTTACAAAAATAACAGTGATCTGAAACGATTTTCTCAACACAACACGATGTTCTATTATGTAGATGTCTGCATTTTATATTTTGAAATAAATGATATTGAATATTATTTTTTAAGCGAAAAGTTCTTCTTAACTATTTCAAATTTTCGTTCTGCTTCATCAGAAAATCTACAAAGCACTACGTGTCATTTTGCATTACTAATGATAGAGAAGAGCATAGATGTGTATAATTAATTACACATAAAACTTCATCTTCTCCATTCATACATTTCGATATACTAGGATATGAATTGAAAAAATTCATAGAAAAATTAATGAACAATTTTCAGTTATCGGCAAGGAAAACATGTTTTCTGTTCATTGTGCTTCAAATGATCTAGTGTTTTTATTTGAGGAGATAATTGAGAACTAAATTTAATTAAGACTAGATTTCTCGTGAAAGAAAGGTCAATTATAACTTGAACTCCGTAAGAAAAAAAAACAATCACTGAAGAATATGCTTTGATGTAGTATATAACGATGGTATGTTTCATCATAGTCGTTAGAGTGTGTTGTATGTAAAATGCTCTGTTGAATTTCAATTATTGCAAATAATTAAATTTCAATAATTGCGAACACACTAAATAGTATTTGTGAAAACATGATTGATGAAAGGAAGCAGATTTACTTAGTTTAAGAAGCAAGAGAAGAAATTTGTTCAAGTTTTCGCTCAGTGAAAATAGATTTATATGCTGTATGTGCTTATGTTTAGCTGAAGACACAATACATCGATGTATCTGTATAGCTTTATTAATGTTCAGTTTTTTAGATCAATAGCAGAAAGACAACACATCAGGATCAATCATATCATGAATTTATTGGGTAGTGGCTATGTGTATCCGAGTGTGTATAGTTACTTCCATTTATTAAGAAGTGCATATTTGTCGTCAAATATTCGCTCTTTGAGTTATTATCATTTATGGTACATGCATGTTTTTTTTCTTGTTTTCTTTCTTTTTTTTTCACATGAATTATCTAAATCATTATCTTGTGTGTATCTAGACCAATTATATTTTTCTTCCCAGGAATGACTGATATTCTTATATTTTCTCTTGTTCCAGCTTTTGTCTGTTATTTGGCAATTGGAAAGAATATACATGACATTATCTGTGTTTGATATCCGTCTAATTTCAATGTGGAGGAGTGCTACAAGTTGTTCTCTATCTCATTTTTCGTGTGCGTGAGCGTTACTGTCGGGATGATGTATAAAAAGGGATCGGTTTTCCTCAATGAACTAGATAAATTAATTTAGAAGCAAATTCATTTTAACCTAATGCTATTGATAGAGACGAACCTGTATAATCGTGTTAATGACTATTTTTCAGTCTTCAATGGTTCATCAGTAGGGTTCGTCATTTTCTCGCTCGGGTCGGTGATACGTCCATTTTTTCCATTTTGAGTTGGCGGCTGGTCCAGTCAATTTTAGTTCTAGTTTGCTGGGGCTTTCACAATTTTCCATATGCGGCTCCCACCACGACGTGTATTTTCCGCATACGAATAACTATTAAAAGAAGATTCAAAACTCAATGTTTTGAAGATAATCCTGCCTGTTCACTTCATCATCCGAATCACAATTTCTATCAATTAAAAGACAATCCAGTTCTGCATCTGTCATTAGTTGAACAGAGCCATGAGTTATCATTAAGAGAAAAAGCAAAACTCTCAATGGTGCTCATAAGTAACCATCACGTAGAGGATGATTTCGGCTATCAGTAAGATTGAATTTCATTTCAATTAAAAGATCGCATCAGTTATGTTTGTCACAAACGTTTTCTGATTTGACACAATTCTTGAAATAAATACTTGATCACAACATGGGTGAAACGAAAAGCTGGAACAGTAGTTTACCACCAACTTTTGGTAACGCTGTCTATTGAGCTACTTAATATCTGCAGAATTCGACTATTCCCACATGCAACACAAATTTATATAGGGAAGCTATAAACTCAGACAAGAAAAAAAGAGAAAAGAAGATATCAGCGAAATAGTGATATCAAGATCGATACAATTGATCTAAATTCATTGCCTGATTAGCCACTTGGAGATCCATCCTGTGACTGAACATAGCTAAATATACTATTACATGATAGA